CCGAACCTTGGTTTAATTAAGTTGAGATAACAAGAGTTGCAGCGGCTTTTTACGGATAGTTTAGAGCTAGTTAGCTTACTTATACCCCTACTCACCCCGTCCCCGGGTCGTTTAAGTAAGAGCCCGGGTCGGAGTTCTGCTGCCTGCCTTAACACAACCACAAAATGGGGGGGGTTCCGATAATAGGGAACCCTATTGTAGTACCCTAAATAGCGAGATCCTTATTGTACGGACCCCAAAATAGGGTACCCCTAATTTTCCCGAAGCTCCCAAATTTTCGGTGCCAGCTCGAGCATCAGTCTGTGGACCTGCAGCTCAGCGCACTTATGGCTTATGGGCTCCCTCCACACCTTCAATCGTGAAACCTTCAAGCTTTCACAGTTTGTTCACTACGTATACGCCATGCCTGAAAGTCTATATAGGCGTTGAGGTTCTTGCTGGAAAGCTCGAGTTGTGTTTGATTTTCCCACATCGCTTGAGATTATGATCTTATCGGCGTTCTGTTTCCGTCTCTGTCATTCACCCAGCGGGCGTTTCAAATTTTTTCGGCTTCGCAGCAAGGACTTCCTTTCCAAGTATGATGTCCAGATCGAAGAAAAGACACCGGAATACAAGACCTACAAGGGGGCCTCACCAAGGCGCCGGTTAACGGGGCCCAGGCTTTTGCAAACTATGGTCTTTCACGAGGGTTTTGGTAAGATAGATTCAGCCCGAAGAGAAAAGAGACAGGTACCGGACGATTATCCATAATCCTGTATCAATTCCAGATATGCAGCAACAAGATCCGGATTCCTTTCAGAAGGGAACTTTCGGTTTTGAAGAATCACTTTGCCCCTTTCGCACACAGATTCCAGGGAAAGTTTTGGGAAAAGTCGAACTTTTCAGGTTTGGAGTGGCGGGGGTGTTTAGGGCTGCCGTATATCTTACATGCAGGTGTATATGCATCTCTAAATTTATCGGTACCTGATTTGGGGATCCTTATTCTCAGGATTCTCCTATTCTGGCTTTGTCGAGCCCCCAAATCAAAAATGAAGCTTTGACGACAAATCTGCCCTGAACTCGGAGCCTGACCAGAGAATAGAAGCTTGAATGAACACCAAGACTTTTCCTTTGGCTTGCTTGTTACTGCATGCTTTTGCTATAGTATACCCCAAATTGCGACTTTATGACCTGATTCTATACTCAATTCAGGGCCCTATACATGACTCCGAAGAAACCCCAAGGCCGTAAACCGAGACTTGAAACTGTCGCCTCCGACCCTTTGCCTTAGAGCCTGGCTTCGCCCTGAACGCTGAATCCTGAATTTCTCAAACCTTAGTCATTCTTATGATTGTTATTGCCAGTACTAAGATGATTATTGTTATAGTTAGTGTTTTATTGGCTTTATTGTTTATTATTGTCATATATTTTTGTCGCTTTATCACAAGTATCGTTATTTTTTCTTATTATTACTGCTATGATTATGATTGTTGTGATGGTTATCGTTAAGAATCATTACAGTTATTGTTAGCGTTATTAGTATTGTTGCTACTAGCATGATTGTTACTATTCAAACCGTAAACCCACATCTTTGTTTTTGCTGACGCGCCGCACAGGTGCCCGCAAGGTTTGCAGCCCAATCAAGACATCCAACGCTGCCGCCCGGAAATGCCACACGCCCTGGACTGAAAGGGGGCTTGCTTTAAGGGTTTCGTGTGATCCGTGATATTTTTTGTTTTTGGGTTCGGGGTTTCAGGTTTGAGGGTTCTTCAGGCCTCGGATATGGGAACAGGACGCCGGAACCAACCCATCTGTCTTGCCCGGGCACTGTGGTTGCCATGAGCCCTACGCCCGCAATCCTGAATCTGCAAGCTTGGCACCCCCAAGCCCTAAACCTAGATTGTTGATTTAGCATCGCGATCTGGCATGGGCTTGAAAAGGTTGTGGTTGTGGCGGTGACTGCGGGTGCCATAAATCTCTCAACATTTCCAAGCCACAATGTAGGGACCCAATTATATAGACTATGGCTTCAGGGTGTTCGTTTTGCTATCATCATTGTACAGCGACGGTATATGACTACTTGTTGTCATGATGGAGACTCATATGGTAGTCCCTGCGAGCACACTTGCAGGCCCGAAGTGCATAGCACTACTTCTCCTGAACCTAGTTTACTGACAGGCTGGCCCTAACTTTTTGGAAGCTGCTGGAGGTTTTGTGGATAGGTGGGGGAGTTTCAGAAGCTCGGAACCCGATCATCGTGATATATCTGGTCATACGGATCCTTAGCGCAAGCGTTAGTTAAGATCATGAACCACCCTCCACCCCTACCCCTTCCGCCGGCGCTTCCTTCGTCAAACTCGTTCCTTGGGTGGAACTTGTGTTAAGAGGGGAGGGAACTTGAGGAACATGCGTGGGCAAGCCCGAATCCAACACCCATCCCAACATCTTTTCACCATGAATTGGAGGCCCTAGCTGCTCAAACGCCCAGAACCCTGAAAAGCACGTAAATCCTCGGCCCTCGACACCTCCAAACACCAAAAGACCCTTATGCAAACCTATCTTCGCGCTGCCTGAGGATGCACTTCCTCAAGCTCGTGCGGCTCTGGCTGGGGAAGCTCCTAGCCGAGGAAGAGGCAACTTGTCACATTACATGTTCTTCTCTTTTTTCCCATCTTCCGGCTTGCTCAAGCGTTAGGCAAGCGTTGAGCATGTAGGCGTGCCGTTGTTTCGGAGTGTTTGTTTGTTTTACCCGATCTGAGGTGTCCGGTGAGTTGCGGGGGTTAGGGCCTAAAGCGGTCTCGGCTGGCGGCTTTCGGGCTCCGAGTTCGGCGAGGAATTTAGACCTCGAAGAACTTCCGCCTGGTCGCGGATAGGCTTTGCGCCACCGCAAGCCCTAAATTAAATCCCTAGCCTCAACCCGGAACCGTTGTTCGAATTTCCGGCATCTTCAAAAGATGTAATTCAATTGCTGCACATGGCTAGGTTCTTACAATGTATCGCAGTTGTTCTACTTGGAACCACACCACGAATCCTCTTATCCTTTACATCTACTTTTGTTCATTTCAAAAAGCCCTACTAGTATCCGATATCAGAACCCTCAAGGGCTCCCCTTATGCCTAAAGGTCAAGGACCACACCGGCATCCGGGGCTTCTTCTTCTCGAACCCCAAGAGCGAGCGAAAGGCGCGCGAGAGGCTCCTGGCCGTGACACACGAGACTTGGGCTGCTCTTGGAGGGCCTTTTTGAGGGGCGCGCGTTTGGGCTTTGGGGTTCAGGGGTTGAGGGGTTTCGGGTTGAGGGTTTTGGGTTGAGGGTTTAGTTGCTGTTCAGCAACGGGAAGAGTCATTGCACCAAGCGGCTTTATGTGCGTGTGATCCTGTGCTGCAGGGTCGGGCATGCTAATCTTTACGACGAGAGCACACCGTTTTACGTACCGTCGAAAGCCCGTAAGGGCCCCATTTGTGATGTTGAGCCATTGCATCCGGACTCCAGCATGTCAGCAACTTTAGAAGCCCAGTATGCGCACACAAGTGGAGAATCACGCTCTGCAGGTTTAGGGTTCAACCTCTGCTCCAAGGTTCTTTAGAGTCTTCCCGGTACACTTCGATTTGCATCCAGAGGTTCGAGAGGTGCTGCTGCTAATGGTGTTGGGGGCTGAGAGAGTTTTGATTTAAGACCAAGGGTCATAAGGGTTTCAAGACTTGGAATCTTTAGAAGCTCATTTTGGGTTCATGTGCATATGACTACGAAAGCAAGGGCCGCGCACCCGAAACCGGCGAGTTCAGTGGTTTTGGCTCAGCGGACCATGGGACCTAGGGTTCATTGTGTAGGGTAGAATCACGCGGAGAGGGTGGGCTACAGTTCTTGTTTGGGCGTTGCAGCTTAGGCTTCAGGCGGATTGTTCTTTCCTTTTTTCGTCAATGATGCAAGCATGTAACTTCACAGGCCGGTTGTCAATCTTCAGGAGTGAGTGTTTTGTCAGTTCTCGGGTTCGAGGTCTGTGCGGGGATGCAGGGGCATACAGAGTTGCACGGCAATCATGAGTAAATCCCTAAACTATCATGACTAGAATCGCCTCCTCCTTTCCTCTGCCCCCAAAGTGCATTTGTTTTGCCACCACAGAAAGGAAGCCCTCATGTTCCCGAAGGATGAGTTCAGGACTTTGGGGCTTTATGTTAGGATGATTATGACACTGTTGATGACCCCCACGTAGAAACGCAAGCACTGCCATCGTTAGCTATATGCGCGTCGAGAGTCCACCAAGGAGCTGAGAAAGCTGTGGTGGCAGCAGTACCAGAGCGACATCTGAGCTTGGGCCGACCTTTGAAGAAAATGCAGTTTCGAGCAGTGGTGCCAGGTTTCTGTGAAGCGAGGCTGCTGTGCAAATCGCAGCCTTCAACCAGGATGTGGCAAGTTAATTTCCAAACCTAGAGTCCTAAACCCTGTACCCCGAACCAGAAACTCCGACATCGCTGAAGTCCCAGCAAAGAACTGCTTGCATCAAATTGGTGAAGCCACAGGCATTAGTGTGTGGAGTTTAGGGACCGTGGTTTCGGGTCGTTCGCTTGGATGTGGGTTAGAAGGTTTGGCTTTGAGCCTTACTTAGGTTTTGGGTGAACTATAAGGCGGTGATGATCACCACACTAGAGAGCCGCCAGACGCAAGCCTAAAGCCCTTACCGATGGTTTGATCAAGTTCTATCGAAAGCACTATGTTGAAGCTCGTGGCGAGCTTAAGCGGGACTTAGTATGCTTATTAACTTGACATGTGTAGTTGTCTCTACTTTCTAACCTCAATGATAATGACGGCACAAATAGCCCTGCTTACTAAGTCCGCTGAGTCCTTAAGTGTCCGCCCATAGCCCTTAACTGCAAGCGCAGCAGCAACGCCGAATCCCCGACCTCAATCCCTGCCAAAGCTTGGACCGTAGACCCGACCCTCAAACCTAAACACCCGAAACCCCAGACCCTCGCCCCAAAGCCCGAAATCCTAAAGCTGAAGTTTCTGGGCACCATCGGCCAGGTCCTAACGTCCGACAATGCGTTGGCTGGCAGCTTGACTGCCTTGAAGCTCCGAAACGGTTTAGGGTCAAGCGCTGAGGTTGTCAGCTTAAGGTTAAGATTTAGAGCTTAGGCTTAGGGCTTACAGGGTGGAGATTGCGACGGGTTTTCCAACTTGCTTGTCAGTTCGCAGGCTATTCGAGTGTACTGGTGTTGAGGTGCATATTTCGTCCTTGGAATGGATGGCGTGCTCGTGCTGCTCGCGTTTGGGCTAGTGCGGCTCACGGTGTAGACGGATGTCGTTCGAAGTATTCTGCCTGTAGGCAAGGCCGGTCTTCTTGGGCTTCCCAGAACTTTCGTTTTGGATCTACGCGGGACCCGGAACCTGTTCAGGGTTTAGGCCTTCGGATTGTGGGTGTAGACGGTAAAAATGGGGCCTCAGAGTGTCGGGCTCAGGCTGCTAGCATCCTGTTAGGCCACCGGCCCCGGGTGCAAGTCCCACATCCCCAAGCCGTATGCCCGAGCCGCACAGTGTTGAACCCATGATTTTACGCATAATGTTCAGGGTTACAGATCAGCATCGAACCGTGTTGTGCGGCTGACAGTTGAGGGTTCTGTAACACCTCACTGTGGATGAACAGGGAGACCACCACTACGGCTGTAAGGGCAATTGCAGCTTTGCCTGGCGTTATGCGTAAGGGGGTTTTGGATTTTGGTATTTGGTCCAGGGTTTGGGGTGTGCCCCTTGAAGCACTTGGCCTCAGAAACTCTGAAGACTACATCGGCATCGTAAATCCATCCTAAACCCTGCACTTCACTCGTTTTGGTTCTGGAATGACTCCCCTATCCCTTTCCAAAGGTATCCTGCCCCCCGGATTACGATAGGGCCGCAGCCCGTAGCTGTTGAATCCTGTAAGGGGGCCGTGTCTCAGGTTCGACTTACCCCTATGGCCACAACGAGCAGGCGGGATGCTGGCATTGCTTTCTGGCTGATAGCATCTGCTTGGTCAAAAGTTGCAGAATGCAAGGACTTCGGGCGCATCTGAAAGGGCATAAAGTAAGTCTAGGTATCGAACACTGACGTCGTTTCGGTTTTGGGGGGTGCAGACGCCGATAAGCTTCGTTCTGAAGCATAGGTTCTGTGTCGTGGCCTCCTTGGCTTAAGATTGCGCTGAATTCGGCAGACCGGGCCCTATCCCTTGTAAACCCGATAGCCTGAAATCCGCACAGGCTAGGCCTGAGACGCGTGAACCTGACGAGAGCCAGCGCCAGGGTTTAAACTCTAGCTATGCCGCAAAACCGTTAAACCCCCTACTCTATGAAGCCCTACATTAACCGAAAGGCCCAAAGACAAGAACCTCCCAGCAGGGGGTGAGTCTCTGATGGCAAGTAGCTTTACCCAAATGAGCGTGCCAACTAGGAGGGATTCTGGAACCCAAAGCCCCAAACCTCAAACCTTAAACTCTTGAACCCCGAACACCCTAAACCCGAGAATCGAAAACTCCGGACGCAAACCGAGGCCCCCCAAAACCCCCAAACTCCAAAGTCTGAACCACTAAACCCTAAACGCCCAGCCCCAAACCCTACCTGGAGGTTCGGAGGTTCAGGAGACCTAGTAAGTACTTTGATTCAGGTTTACCAAATAAGAGATACATACATTTGAAGTTGCCTGCCTTCTCATCCTACTTGTTCAAAACCTTTGCCCCTAATTGGACCCTAAACCCCGATAGCCCTACCTGGACGCCCAAAGCATGTAGAATACTGGCCCGTTGATAGGTGTGGGACCATTATTTTATCTACTTTTGGCGGGGTTCTAACGCCTTGAAGCCCACGAAACCCGATCCCCGGACTATTGATGGAGGTCGCCGACTTCGGCGGGCGGGTCCCTTCACCGAAGGGCGACATGCCAGGCCGTTGTGCTGGGTTTCAGGGTTTGGAGCTCCATCGGGTTTACATATTTTTATATACATATTTTCCACATGTATAAGTAGAACTATAGATATATGTATATATGTCGTCTTCACAGGGTTTCATGCAGGGCTTTGCAGGCTTCTTTTGTACTTTTTCGTTCCGTTGGAAACTATTGGGTCTAGTCTCTGCGGCTTCAGGATTGTCACGCTTAGACCCTCAGCCCCTCAACCCTGCGTACTCTCTTGGGAAAGCTGCACCCTACGGTCAAGATTGTGCGTGCTTTTGTGGGTTGATGTCGAACTTGGCTTCTGGCTTGCAGTGTTACTGGAACCTTCCTAAACCCCAAGCCCGAAACTGTTTGTAATTTGTCGCGACTTCGGGTGCAACTAGCTTCAGGCGGTCGTCTTTTGAATGGTTCTCGGCGAGGGCTGTGGCTGCCTTCTAGATGGTCTTTGTCAACGTATCCGTTATGGCGTTATTGCGAATAACTACTGTTGCCACTTCCGCTTGCGCAGGCTTTATGCATAGTTCTGTCGTTGGTGGTTGTATTTGTTTCGTTATGTTTGCCGATGTTTGTAATCTTTCTTGAATGTTGGCAAACCTTGTAGTTATAGTTGCCCTCGTTGTAACCCTTTGTAGCCCTTGTAACCTTCGTGGCCACGCTTAAGCCCTGAACCCTAAGAACTAAAGTCACTAAACCTTAAACGCTATACCTGAAACCTCACAGTGCTGAAACCCTGGCCCTAAATCCCGAGCCCTAAACCTTAAACCAAAAGCGTCTTTTCCAAACCCCGTAACCCTAAGACCCTAATGGAGTAGCTTCAATGATTGCCAATATTCCTTGCCATATTCATAGTATCATATGCCCCAAAACCGTATTCTAATTGGCAAGGCCCCTATATTATAGTACCTTATATATCCCTTATAGTATCCCTTGTATAGACCCCTTTAAAAGGAATCCTATTCTAGTTCTTAAGGCCCCTAAACCCTGAACCCTAAACGAGCCATGTCTGCTCGGTCCAGGGAGCGACATGCTGAACTTTGAGCAGCCGGAAGCAGCGGCCGCCCCCTTGGCCTTCCTTTTAAAGGGGTCTTATAAGGGATGTATAGTAGGGTTCTTGAGTATAGGTTAGGATTCGGGGTAATGTAGGAAACTGATTAAGAAACCCTAGGCCCATTGCCTCAAAATAGTAGGATAAAGGCCCAAGCTTTCTTAATCAGGTTCCTACATTGGGGGCTTTAGGCTTCAGTTTCGTTCAGGGTCTTGGGTTTGGGGTTTTGGGGTTTAAGTGAGGTTTAGGGTTGGGTGTTCGAGCAAAGAGGACGTGGTGGGTTCAAGAATGCCTTTGTTGGGTTTAGGCATCCACCATACCTTTGTTCTCTTGATTCCGTCATTTCGGGACATCGCTTTTTGCATCAGGTACGCCTGTTCTGCCCACAGCTGTGTTCGTAGCAGCGTGGGCAGCTTGAATCCACAAGAGACAAGCGAAGAAGAAGCTGTACGAGACCCTCAGCCCGTACCAAGGACGAGAGTAGGTCTGACTAGGTTGGTCTACTTCTCGTCCTCATCTTACATTTCGAACCCTATAATTGCTTAAACCCCCAACCCTGAACCCCAAAGCCCTGAACCCGAAAACCCTGCACCCATAGACCCTAAACCCCCACATGCAGGCCACAGGATCGACGCTGCTGAACCCTAAACCCCAAACAGCTCGAGCACCGATGCCCATGCTAGGGTCAAACCCGAGGCCATGTATATGGAGCCTGCGATGGTGACTGGCCAGGCAGGCCCGAGATCGATCAGATAAACAGATACTTACGTAATGTATACATATGATAAAATTGTTCGTATACATATATATATATATATGCATATTTGTACACACTGTACGGATAGGTATATATATATATATAGATACATATACACACACACACGTATATAGAGTTGGATGTATGTATGTGTGTGTGTATGCATGTATGTATGTATGTATGTATGTATGTATGTATGTATGTGTTAGTATATACACACACGTACTGCTGGAGGCTTATGCATATGTCTTTTATATATATGTATATATGTATATATGTAGATATATTTACATATGTATGTATGTATGGACGGACGGACGGACCGACGGATGGCTGGCTGGCTGGATGGATGGATGGATGGATGTAGACATGCATGCATGCATGCATACATGCATTGATGGATGCACGGATGGAAGGATGTCCCCAGCTCATCCTTGGACACAGAGGCTTAGGCCTCGACGTTGTCAACCCTCAATATTCGAGCATCTGGAGTAGTTGCATTCGTGCTTGATTGCTGCCACTGCTGCTGCTGCTTCTGCCAGTGCCGCTGGGCAGTTGCTGCTTCTTTGTACTGCCATGGTCACGACAGCTGGAGCTACGAAGGCAGACTTGTCACAGCAAGAGCAGTCGTCGCAATCGCACGACAAACCGACGAAACATCGTCACACTTCAACATCTTGGATGCAACAGTGGTTTGGCCAATGAATGAAAGCCGCCCCTCCATGCGCTCCCTTCGCACTTTTCCTAGGCCTCTCCAAGACCGCAAGCAGTCCACTGGACTTCAGGAGCAGTTGCCGGAATCCAGCTTCCACTGAGCGCCAGGTCTGTAGAGTCTTCAACGTGCAAGGGAACATCTTCATGGCTTCAATAGCTCGCAATGTATTCTTCATGGGGTACCCTACAGTTACTTAAACAGTTACTTACTTGTGTAAGTGGTTTGCACATACACGTACTCACCTACAACATTAGTATGTACACATTTACTTCCAGCTTCTGTTAATGTTCACAGCTGTACCGTGCAGGTGTTGTACACGAGTGCATAACGGACATTCATACGAGCGGTACTTGCCTTATTCAGACTGCGTATCGTTTTAAGTTGTACAAAGTATGTTTGTAGGGACTTTAAGGGGATTATCTAACGCCCTGAGCCCGAAATCGGGCACTAAAGCCCCAGAAGCCGCGCCGCCCTAGAGCCTAGACCCGCCAGCGTAAACCCTAAAGCCCAGGAGTCAGCCAAGACACCCTTAACACCCGAACAAACCCCGGAAAGCCGATACAGCACCGGGCAACCCCAATGGATGCCCTGTGCGGCCTGGCTTTGGTGAGTGTCGCGGGGCCTTTAGGTGAAGTTGAGGGTATAGGTTGTCTTGGCATCCTTCTCGACCTTCTTAGGGGGGTCTAGGATTGTGGGATATTGCGGCTCTACCTTTCGTCAGGGTTCACGGTTCGGCTGCGCGACATGGGTTTCTACTGTTTGCTGACACTGTGCTGGTTTTCCAGAATTGCTTCCGAATCGCCTAATACTGAAACAATCCGACATTCTAGAACCGAGACCGAGAAACCCACTGGGGTCGGATTTGGATTTGTTGGCACCTGGCTTCGAAACTATCGATTTCTACTGCTCTGCGCGGTAGAATGCGCGTCGAGCTGCAGCCTTTCACGCGATATGCTGGAAAAAATCTGGGATCTTGTCAGGAATCCGCATAGTCCGTTTTCATAGCATAAGATCCACCAAATTCCTTACCCTAAACTCTAGACATGGGCGTGATCGGAAGGATTTCATGGGCGATGTTTGGAATTTCACATGACCTGCTACGCCTGAAAGGTGTGTCTCGCATCTACAGTTACACCCCCGCAGCCTCTTCTTCGATTCATTGAGGTCCCTAAACTATATCCTTCGTCACTTGAGCCTTTCTTGGGCAGGACGAAGTCGGGTTATCAGCCTCGAAGCCTTTCCCGGTTTTGCCATGGGCAATAATGAAGTCTGCAATGAGGTTCCTAGTTACATGACGACAGTGTCGATCCCAATACTTCTAGCTTCATGAGGGTATAAGTGGGTACAGTTACTATTTTGACTTATAACCCTATTTACTAAGTCCCTTGATCCGCGAAGTACTGATGTCGAATTTCCATTGAGCCAAAGACTAAATGCTTCGGGCTTACAGGGAAGCCCCAAACCCTGAATGTTGAACCTTCGTCCCAAGCCTTCAACCTTGAGCCCACATCCCAGATGGCTGAGGCCTCATTTTGCAAGCAAAACCACCGCGGTACGTGGGGCTTTCAGGGTTTACGATCTAGGCAGTACCTATTGCTCCACCTTATACTCCAGTTGCAGTAGTTTTAACCCTACTTGCGAAGTTCTTTGAACGGTGCCACGCTTTCTGTTCCTGTTGTAGCCCTATAAGCCCTAAACCAGAAAACAACATGTTGACATCCTACATCTTAAACACCAAAACCCCGAACTCTCAAACAACCACACACTGGAGTTTTAGTTGCATCAAAGCTTTGCAACCCTGAGTTCAACCCTCACCCGTCAGTGTAGAAGTGTCAATATTGTTATGATGAAGGCCTCTGTATTTAGAGCCTTCAGCTTTTGATCCCGAGTGTCCTGAAAGTAGAATTCTTATAGCAGCCTTCAGGCTATTAACTTACACCCGAACCCTCGTCAAATGGTGAAACCCCGCATATGAAACCCCAGACAAGCCCCGTGAGAACCCAGCTGAACACATATGTTGTCGAGGTCGGACTAATCAATGAGAGTATAATCCCTTAGGTTTTGATTCCAAAATCCACAGCCGAACCCTATTACCACAAATGTGCCACTGCGGTGTCGGCTCCGGCTTTGGGCGTTTTTCTGGGGAGATGCTGAGTCGACCCGGCGTGAGGTCCCGGGCAGAGGCGAGCCTGCAGTTCGGGCTATGCGGGAGCGGTTCTATAAGGGTTTCGAGCTTGGCGCGTGAGAAGGGGGCTTAAAACCATTTCAATAGTGTTTTGGGGTATACTATACTATGACGATCATGTTCAACGAACCCGTAAAAAGTATTCGTGCCTATCTAAGGCTCCTATATTGCGGGCTGAGGGTGAAGGGCTTAAAGTTTTGGGCTTCGGGCTTAGGGCATGGGTCTTAAGGCTTCAGGTTTTGGGGGTTTTGGGTTACCAAGAATAAGATGTACGGCTCAGGACCCTAAGCTCCACCCAGTGTGATTGGATTTGAATCGAGCTTCACACGGTTTTGTTGCTTTTGTGGGTGTTGGGGGCTAGAGTCAGAGCTTCAGTGCTCGAGGGATTCACTTGTTAGGACTTAGGGGTTCTTGATGTTCCACAATCGGGCGTATAGAAATTTGAACGTACGCAGAAGATAAATGCTTGGGGCAATTGAGCTTTGAGGCGTTGCATGGCTTTCGGGATTCAGGGTTTGTAAGTTGGGGTTCTCATCGCATGAATCCGGAGCCTTACAAGGTTGTCATCATGGTCAGGCTATAGGGTTGTATAAGGGTTTAAGCGGTTTGTGAAGATTGCTGAGGGCTTGAGCTCGACTTTTGGGTTTCTGGGGGCTTTAGCGTGTAGGGTCTCTTAGATTGGGCTAGAAACGCGGAGCCTTCAAACCTGTACGTGGGTGAATCTAGGTGTTCATGCATTCATGACCTTGCTCATTCGCTGTGTGTCTTCTGTGTGGATGGTTCTCTAATCAGGGTCCCTTTAAGAGTTCTGGTGTTAAGGCAAGGGACCTAAATTCTCAGAACATGTATGATCGCCCAAATGTCTAGCCTCGATGCGCTTGCGAGCCGTGGACCGTCAACCTCCCTAATCCCTAAACTCTAAAACCCTAAACCCTAAGCTTTAAACCCTAAACCCTAAACCCTAAACGTTAAACCCTAAACCCTAAACCCTGAACTTTAAACCTTAAACCCTAAACCCTAAACTCTGAACCCTAAACCCTTAACCCTACATGTTAAACCCCATGGCCCAAACCCGAAGCCGGTCTATGCTATTTGGATTTTGGTGTTTTTGTCGCTACATGGGTTCTATGATACTATGAGGTTGGGGCTTTGAGGATTCCATGGTTTATCACACACTCACACTCACACTCACGCAATGCACAAGCTGTCGAGCTGTTGTCACTCGTAAACCTTCATTGTGACATACGTTTGCAGAGCATCGTAGCTTCTTCATTTTTGTGGGTGGGAGTGCCGCTTAGATGGTTCAGTGAGCTCTTACACTTGCACCGCCACGCCTTCAACAAGGTGGCTCACAAGAAAGATAACAGACCAAGTGCCAAGACTTTCGCTTCTATCTCAATGGATCCGAACGGATCGGGACTGCGTTTGGCATGTACCGTCGCACGCTCATCAACTCAGAGAAGAGACCGGAGCAACAGCCCGCACAGTATACTAAAGTCTTCGATCTGTTTTCTGCAGCTGCAGCCGCACTGGCTTTTGGCATCCGACCTGCACTTGCGGTTCTGCTCCGACAGCGAATTTGATGCCGTCAGACTTAGGCCTACCATAAAGTTTCAGCTACATTTTGCTGAGAGGCTTCCGCCAGCCGGCTTTGTCAGGCTTTCAGGTTTAAGGCTTAGGGCTTGATAGGGCTCCAACCTTTATACAGGAGGTGGTAGAATTCAGGTATAGAGCGTGGCAAAGATGTGACTGGCGGCCGAATTGCGCCATGCGAAACAGAGAACACCCGATGCATCTCTGTTGATCCACTGAGGGGCTTATACTGTTCTGTGATTTGATTTGCGAATCGACAACTTCTTTTAGCTTGGGGATCGGTTTCCACTGCCCACTGACCCTGAATCGGACGTTCACAATCATCCACATTCCGTAAACTTTACAGCTAAACCCATCGACATGACACGGCCAGGGCCGCTAGAGGCCACGCTTCACGGCTTCTGACCGAGTGGGGGCCGCGCTGCACTGAGTTTCCTCAAGTTACGACAGTGGGCTTGTGGTTTTTGGAGTTTCAAGCTTTGCGGGTTTAGGGTCCAGGCATTGGGATCCCGAGAGTAGGATCCGAGGTTTGCCTCAAAGGAGATAGTGCCGATGTTGTAGAGCTTGGGTCTCGTTTTTTCCGAGCAAGGTGGGTGCCTCCTCTGCGGTCAAGGCTTGCTTGAGGCTTGTTTCCGGTTCTTACCGTCGGCCTTGTCCAAGATCAAGTACATCATGTGCCAGAAATCCTGCAAACTCAAAGCCCATGGGCTCCTCAGTAACGGTTTCAATTTTTTCGGAGGTTCCGCTGTGCGGACTTTGGTAAGCCGAGGCTTTGCTATTCTCAGATACGGTTTCAATTTGTTAGGTCGTCTTTATCGGGACCGCGTTTAGCGCCGCAGCGGCGACAACAAAGCCCATGAAATCAATATAATCCGAAGAAACCCTGAAGGCCAGGTGTCCGGCCCCCAGAATAAGGCAAACACCGATGATTCAGAGATGTACGGGATTTATCGTGGAAAAGAGCCTTCTTCGTTGTCCTAAATCAAACCTTGCAACTTTATAGGGGCCAAAAGAATTACCGATACTCTCCTTTGGGGGTTTGTAGGCCTAGTACAATGACCTCAAAACGCTAGCAGGTCTTGCAATATCCCTTCATGAACGAATATACCGTCAGCCATATCATTGATACTATCAGAGGTGACGGTAGATTCCCTCATCAAGGGATATTCGAAGATCTGGATATTCGAGCCTCTTGTACCTCATCTCCGAGGCGTTTTCGCGGCTTCCAGGCAGAGCCGCAGAGCCACCATGTACAATGGCCTCGGACTCGTCCATTTGGGTTTAGGGCGCATGGTATCCAGCTTTCGTTGTTGGTGTTCCCGTAACCTGTACCTTCAACCTAGCCCTTACTCAGTAGAAGGAGCTTTGGGGAACATGTTGCTGTATGATTACATAGGGAGCTAAAGGCATGTTGACTCCCGAAGGGCCTAGTGCGAGCTTCAGACTTCAGAGAAGGTTTCGGATCGCCTGTCAAGTCCATGGAGGATCATGGTCCTCTCCTAAAGACCTACCTGTGTTTGGTTTCAGCTATAGCTACTTATAGCAGCCCGTTATAAACTTCGGGTAAATATGCGGGTTCCTAGGGCTACAGCCCCACTTACGTCCGCTGAATATCTGCAAAGGTACACCATGCTGATATGCGGTGTTCCAGAGAAGCTGCTTGAAGCGCGTACTCTAAACTCCTAAACCCCAAACCCTCAACCGTAAACCACTAAACCCTCTTAGCGCTTAAACCCCCACAAAACTGCAATCCCAATCCTCCAAACCCCCAAAGGCCCGATGCTCAAGCCCGAAGAAATGAACCGCTATCGACACCGTGCGCAGCTCTGCGAAAGTCGACAGCCTAACCCGAAACTCAAATTCGAAAACGCTTAAGCCCCAACCCCCCCTCCCCCCGGGCCCGCGGGCACATCCCGACCGAACCCCCAAACCCTAAACCAGAAGAAGCTAGGCATCGGCATCATGACGCCCAAGGGCTCCGGCACAAATGGATCTTGCCTCAGACATTTCGGGTTTAGGGTTTAGGGTTTATCGTTTTTTTTTGGGGTTCAGGCTTTAGGTTTTGGGGTATAGGCTTTAGGGCTAGGGCGGCTAGGGGGTGGAGGATTCAGGCCGTTTTGTATGTAGGGCCCGAGAACTTCACAGGGTTAACAAGGTGTGTAGGGTTTTTCAGAGACTTGAAGCATGCAAGCAATGACTATACGTTGGGACATTTTCGTTGTGGGGATGGGGTTTTAGAAGCAACTGCTCGAAAGGTGTGCTTTGAGGCTCCTTAAACCCCAAACCCCGAAACTCCAACAACTATAGGGGTCTGTGTATACAAAAAATACTAGTACCACTACAAATAGTAAAATAGTAAGACAATTAGGCCTCGGCTTCGGTTCGTTTATAGTCCTTCAGAGGGTTTCCGTTCGGGTAGAGCACCGCAGCCACCTTACGGCTGCAAGTCTCAAGGCTTGAAGTTATAACCCTGAACTCCCACACTTCTCATGAGTCCTAAACTCAAAACTGCCACAGGACACCACAGCCACGTCATCGTAAAGGAATCCCATTGTCATCATCATTAAGGCCCTAAAAGCAGACACCGTCAGGCTATGTGCAGCGGAACCTTTCCTTCCTGCCCCGGCAGCGACTGGACTTCAAGGTTCTCGGAACGCGGGCTTTGCTTTGGGCATGGCGTTGCAGGTTTTAAGGGTTACGAATGGGAATATCACAAGGGTTACTATAAAGGTTACTACAGAGAATACCAAAGGGCTCAATTAACGACATCCAATTGCTACAGAGGATTGAGGATGCGGTGTTTAGGTTTAGGTTTAGGGCTTATGGCTCGGTTCCACGACTTAGATTTATGGCGAAGGGTTTGGGCTCCAGGTTTTCAGGGTTGACAGTTCAGTTTGCTCTCTAGGACTCCACGGGGGTGTGTTTTCGGTTTTGGTGCCAATTTTTTGTAAATCGCGACTCAGAGACTCTAACCCCTATAGAGCCCTTGAAAAAGCCCTTGAAGTAACCCTGACTAAGTATAACCCGTTCTGCAGAAACCATTATAGTTCGAACTTAACTGTCAAGCCCTGAGGCCTGGGTCACGCACGCAAGGGTTTAGGGGAGCCCATATGGGTGTTGGGTTTAGGGGAGCCCATCAGCCCTAAACCCCCAAAGACAGCACAAACCCCCCAGGCCCTGATTAAGCCCTAAACTCCCAACCTCCCAAACCCTGCACGTAAGCCCCCCAAACCCTGAACTCTCCCAGGCTCTAGGGGCATAAAGAGTGTTTTCCTGCCAGGAATAGCGAATTTTGTGGTGAGTAAGCATGTCCCCTCTCTACTTCGATTATGATAGCGCCCCAAAGGCTGTTAAAGCTATGTTGGCGCCTGGATTATTCAGTTTTGGGGTTCAGCGGTTGGCGTTTTCGCGAAAGGGTTTTAGCGTTTGGGTTTGGGATGTGTTTTGGTTTGTCGGGTCGATGGTTTTCAGCTTTGAATGTCCAAAGTATCCCGAGCCTTGGGTCCGGGGCTGAAGGCTTTAAGGAATTACGGCCACCTTACGGCTGTGGGGTTTAGGGTTGAACTTTGGCTTGGCGGCGGGCATGGCCTGGAATTTAAAGCCCGGGGTGGTTTCCTAAACGACCGACAGGAAACAGTGGGTTTCCTCTCCCCCAAATGCCAAAGATTAACAGTACGGGTAGACTGGCTAGGCATAAAGCTTGAAAGCTTGAGAGGCCAGAGCTGAGGCCCAAGCTACCTGGAGCCTCATTTTGCAACATGGGAGTTTCCGAAAATAGGGACCCCAGTATAGTAGCCTAAATAGTAGGACCCTTATTAATAAGGACCCCAAATCAGGCACCCCTAGTTTTCGGAAACTCCCACATAACAGCATCCGAAACGTGTCTGGGATCCAGGTCTTTCAATACTTTTTTGATTAAGAAGTTCAGAACCTTGGGTTTTGGGCTTGTGAGCTCGAAATTTGGGATCAAGGTTTTTGGGAGCTTTAGAGTTTGAGGATCGAGATGCTAGGGGATACTGGGGACCACAAACGGTCGGTGAGACATTTCTCGAGCATTTCATGCAGCCTGCAGGTGTGAAGCCCGTGCACTACCTCGGTGATCGATTTACTAAAAACCCAGTGCCCACACAGGAACCCTTACATAAATCCTTACACGAGGGTTTAGGGCTTAGGAATCCTTACAACAATAGGGCTTAGGAATCCTTATAAGAAGGGTTTGGGGCCTAAGTTCTTGTGCAATCGTTTAGGGTGTAGGAATCCGACATAGGAGTCGATCCTTAAATCCCAAACTTCCAGCACTCTACACCGCTGTAACCCAATGTAGGTCTTTAGACTTATGAGCACAAATACAAAGAAGGGAATTCCGTACTGTAGTAAGTAGACTACACGTAGGGTTCCGAGAGGTTGGACTTCAGGAATTTTGGCTGCGCGCTTAAACTTGAGAGTCCTGTCTGGAAGTGCAGGCGCAGATTGGACAGAGCTTCAAGAGCATGACCGGCGAGGGCGCCATCAAGGCCGCGACATGAACTGCACGCGCGGGAGTTTAGGGCATGTTAAGGTATTCTGATGTGTGTTTAGGTTTGTTTAGAGAGGTTTTGGGACATGATTTCGGGTTAGGTCACACGGTGTAGGATTCCGGCTTTGTGATTTCGGCTTCGAAGTCTAGCGGTTAGGCCGGGGCGGCAGCGGTTCGCACGAAGCTCTAGGTCTGAAGCCCTCGGCCGCAGCCCTTGCTTTGGATTGTCGGGGCCTGCATTCGCGCAAGCCCCTCCCGGGCCGCCTCGCAAACCCTGCAGAATTTCTACGAGGTGCCGTACAGAGTGTCAGATCTAGACTGTTGTAGAGTTCAACACAGGGTGTCCGTATCCCTACCATTAGCCGTAATAGCCCAAATATAGTATGGTCTTTGGGCCCAAAAGCCCTTATATATGAGTCCTTTGAGCCCTAGGGTAAGGCAACTTTCAAGAGATCGTTGAGCCGGAAGGTTCGGAAGGCGAACGTCGAGCTCCTCATCCATGAGCAGAAGCGAAAGGCGCGTGGGCAAATTGAGACTTTGGGATTCGCTGCTTCGGGTGATGTGCCCTTCTCTTGACGGCTTACGCTTACCCCTAAACCCTGAAAATTTAAGCCATAATTACGCCCTCTTTTTCTGTAAGGCCCTATACACCCTAAAACCCTGAACTGCTTGAACCCTTGAACTCGACAGCCTCTTGTCTGTGAGGTGGAAAACGAGCTCATTAAGCTGGAGGCGCGATCCTTGCAGGAACTTGAAGCTTGCTCAAGGGTTGTTTACATAAGCTGTAATGCTTCAGCCCAAACCTCAAACCCTGAACCCCTCAACACGTCTTTACTTGCAGACTGTAGGATGTAAGGTCTAGATCTAGAGTGTGTCTAGGCTGTTGTTTAGGATGAGCGTCTTTGAGCGCAAGGCAGCCAAGAGCATTTCAAGCAGTGTTGCATATGTAGCCTTGTGAGGGTCCGAGCACTTTGCCAAGTCAGACAAGTTGCGCAAATCCCAAATGGTAGGACGCTTGCACCACATACTAACCCCCAACCCTAGGCGGGTTTGGGACTTGAATTATGGCTCGGGGATCGGGGCACGCGAGTGTCGTGTACTCTCCTCTACTTGTTTTCCTCAGGGGATTTACATTGCTATAGACCCCACATACCTAAGTAATTAAAATGCACCCCCCCCAAAAAACCTATGCTAATGCGTGACGCGCGTATTTGGGGGGTCTAGAGTAGCAAAGCAAATTCGATCCTCAGGACGAGCTTACAGAAGCAGGTATGCCCGAGGCAGAAGTACAGCCAGGGGCCCAAAGACAGTTCGTTTTTGTTGTCGGATTGCGTTCCAGGATTTGAGGGGCGAGCAAGTACCAGCAATATCACCTTTCAGTACGTATACCATCTTATAGCATATGCCTATATATCATGCGTGACATAGTCTAGAGGGCTTGTGGTTGGGTTGTGGAAAACTTAGGGCGTTCATTACTCGGGGGTTTAATTTGGGACTGTGGGTTCCAGTCTGATGTTTCATCAGGTGTGTGTATGTATGTCTGTCTGTATCTAGAGACATTATGTAGCTGGGGTGTGTATGTATATATGTATATGTATATGTATGTGTATATGTATATGTATATGTATATGTATATGTATATGTATATGTATATGTATATGTATATATATATATATATATGTATATATATATATATATGTATATGTATATGTGTATGTATATGTATATATATATATATAGATACAAATATACATATGGGGTATGTAGTTTCAGTGGGCCGCAAGAGCCTCCGTCAAGTATTGGAGGGGATTTTCCCAATGGGTCACTGAGAATTGCTCCTTTTCTTGATCTTGAAGTTTAGCGTTTATGCGGTTTAGGCTATTGTTATCGGAATCTTACATGATACGCAGCCCTTCAAGACACGGGTTGTATTGGTCATGCATCGACAGTTCGGATTCAGGGTGGTGTCTCTTAAACGTTGTTCGCAGGCCCGAATCCGAAATGGGTGTTTCCGAAAATTAGCGGTACCCGTATTTTGGGGTCCTGGTAATAAGGATCCTACTATTTAGGGTAGTGTATAAGGGTCCCCTATTGTCGGAAAGTCCCAAATGTCAGCTCTAATAGACCCCGAGCCTTGAGCCCCCAACTCTTGCCCAGACCTGTCACTGTTGTGAACCCGATTTGCATCGGCCTGGCCCCTGTACTGAACAACGATAGAGCCACACACACACACACACATATATATATATATATATATATATATATACATATACATATATATACATATATATATATATATATGTATACATATACACATACAATCATACCCAGAAACGGCCAGGGTACTAGCGTGCTCCTGTCTCTCCCTCCCCGCGATCAGACTTCCATGCGCGTTTAACCACAGCACCTCCAACCGTCAGCCCTTCCCAAAACCTTTGGCCGCCGTAGCCGTAGACCCCGAACAGTCGGCCAACAAGAAGAAACTCGGCAAATACTGGCAAAAAGAGTTATGACGATTGGGTCTCAGGGCGGCCATCGAACGAGAGCGGAAGCACATGCTCAAAGCTGTCGAGGTACGCGAGAGAGAGGTTTCAAGTGTAACTTTGCTGGGCAATACGAGTGTATTCCGGGCCTGTTGCGGGGTTTGGTAACTTTGGGGGCTCACTTGAAGATCTGGGCATTGAGAGGCGAACCGTATCAGTACTAGACCACCGAGGTCGTTGGCTTTCAGATTGAATCATCACTGGCTGGATGAGGTAGCTTGCCGCTATTTGCAAGTCGACCTACATGTATATTTGCAACTCGTGCTTGTTTTCAGGCTCTGCAGGACACATGTTAACCGATGAGGGGTATTCCAAAGGAGCGCCTTTTCGCGGGTCCTTGCAGAAGTTCCTAAACCTCCGTCATGCACAGCTCAATGCCCAAGCCACGAACCATGAATATGTGATACATGCAGCATGTGGCATGTGTGATATATGTACATAGCGACCTTGATAGTAGGCGTGCCCGGAAACTGACCCACTGACCCCCTAAACTTACGAAACGCAGAAACCCAAGCCCCAATCCCGGAAGCTTGAATCTAAAGCCGCAGCCCAAAATCCCTAACACCAACGCCCTCAGCCTTAAAGACGTAAAAACTAATGATGAACGCTGTCGGCAGACTGGCTCGCTGCGGTATGACTCGGAGCTTGAGAAGAAAGACTCGCATCACCAGGTGGGGCGTGGGGCGGGCGCTGAAACATCATCTTGAAGTTTGGGTCTAGTTAAGGCTTAGGGGCACGTTTCGTTGTGCTTTCGCTTGTTGAGGTCTGAGCTTCGGGTTTGGGACGGTGTTCTTTAGGTTGGTTTCGTGCTCAGGGATTAGGAAGACGCGGGGTCCTTCAGGGATGCCTCGTTGTGGCTCCTTACAGGCGGGCCATATCCTCTGAACCTCGGAGCAGCCTGCGCCTCCCTCAAACCCGAAGCCCTTCGCCCTAAACCCTAGGGTTTGGGGCCCATTAAGTATAATAGGGAGCCCTCAAGAGAGTACTAAGCCCTGAGCCCTGAGGCCATGGAGAAGGAGAAGGAGCTGTACAAGCCGAGGGCTGATCCTGTTTTCGGAGCTTCTGGGTTGGGTTTTCGAGGTGTAGGGTTAAATTGGGTTTAGGGTATAGGATTTTGGGTTTAGGGTTTCGGGTTATAGCGCTCAGAGTTTGGAGGCGCATCTTCAGAGGTTGGACTTCACGTGGACTGCACGGGTGTGAGACGAAGTTGTAATGCTTTTTTGTTGGGATGTCTTCGTGGAGCTTAGCCTGCAGTTGCCATTGGAAGTGGCCCTAGAACCGAAACCCTAGCCCCAACTCCTAAACCAGAAGCCCTAAACCCAAAGCCCGGCACCCTACACCGGTTGCTGCCAATGCCGAGGTTCGAGAAGGCCGTGGGCATCGACACCCGTTCCCGGGTCGTTGGGCAAGCGTTCGACCAGGAACTTCAGGCCACCACTGCTCCTGGGCTTGCGGTGTGGTTTAGTGGTTCAGGGTTTCGGGTCTTGGGGTATGAGGTTTTGGGCATCAGGATTTCGGATTTCAGGCTGTAGACGTTTAGTGAGTTTAGTGTTTAGCTTTCTTAGCGGCATGAGGCTCTCTAACACAAACCCAAAACATGATGAGTCCAAACATCCAAAGCCCCAGACCCAAGCACTAAGCCCAAAGCCTAAACCCCTGCAACCCCTAAGCCTAGACCACGTACCTTCGATGTTCGAAGGCTCTGCTTTAATCTACGAGTATCTACTTTCGTGCTACGGCCTTGCAGTCAATTCGGGAACTTTTCAGGCCCAGGGGCGATTCCTAGGGGTCGGGAACTGCTCGATACCCCTACTAAGTCCCCGGGCCCCTGAACCACAAAAGTTCTTAAACTTTCACTAGTATGTAATTAGTATATGACTGGTGATCTTAGTCGTCATATCCTCCTTATGATTATTGGTATACAGTGTTCTTGTTCGTACTGCAGAGAGCGGAGAGGCACAGCTGAAGCTGGAGCGGATGCAGCAGAAGGCCGAGCAGGCGAGAAGTGTCTCAGTCCTTTTTTTGCATGGCCAAGCCTTGGGATGCGTTTTAGGGTTTACGGATTAAGGTTTAAGGGTTAAGGGTTGAACGGTACAATGTCTAGGGCTAGGGTTGTAGAGTTTCCAGGCTGCAGCTTTTGATTTTTCAGATTTGCAAAATGGCTTTGTTGGCTTGGGGAGTTTCGTCTGCGCGTTTTGGGGTCTTGGTGTTTGGGGCTCAGGCAATGCTGTTGGGCGATTGTTCGGAGTTTTTCGGTGCAGACATCGAGTTTACGATTTCATCTCTTGCCGGTTAGCGTTCAGTCTTTTGGACGATTTGGATGTTCATCCAGATTGGAGATTCTAGATTCTGGTTGTGTCCCCCGTGCCAAGGTTAAGTTTTGAACTCAGTCTTCGCGCCATAATGTACAGGCAAGAGGGGTGAAGAATGCTGCTTGCTCCAATTCTCAAGAGTCTAGAGCACCAAGACTCTTACATCCTAAATTCTAAAGCCAGAGGTAAACCCTAAAATTTAACTTCAACATCTTAAATCCTAAAGCCCCAGGTAAGCCCTAAACCCTAAACTTCAACACCTGAAATCCTAAAGCCCCAGGTAAGCAATAAAGCCTAAACTTCAGGACCTTAAGTCCTAAGGCTCCCATGCCCTGAAACCATCAAGCATGGTCTTTGCTTTAGGAGCAGATGCGGCTTGAAGCCCAGAAGAAGGCAGAGAAGGCCAGACCACCCAGTTTGGGGTTCGGGGGTTTAGGGGTTTAGGGTTTACGCAGGGGTTTAGGGGTTTAGGGGTTCAGGGGTCTAGGGGTTTAGTGTTTAGGGCCAGTTTCGGGTTCAAGGTTCAGGGTTTTCTTTTCAGGGCATTGGGTTTACTGTGGGTTCTGTTTTTAGGTTTTGGGGTACCCTATATAATAAGGACTATACTACTATAGGGCCCAAAAAGGGACCATAATTTAGAACAGCCCGAGCAGCCAGGCCCAAGAGCGGGCGGAGAAGCTCCGCAAGAAGGCGGAGAAGGCTGGGGCCCCAGGGTTCGGATAGCTTTTTGACGGGGAGGTTTAGGTTTTCGGGTTAGGGTTTTTGGGTTAGGTTTTAGGGGTTTAGGGTTTAGGGGTTTAGGGTTTAGGGGTTTAGGGTTTAGGGGTTTAGGGTTTAGGGTTGGGGTTCCATCAAGGAGGTGCTTAGAGCTTGAAGCTTCGGCTCCGTGTGGCACCCTTGAAGTTTGCATATAGGAGCCCAAAACATGAGCCTTAACAAGTCGGGTGCTGTTTCGATGTGGCCTCTGCAGGAGTTCTGTAGGGGCTGCATCAAGTTTCTACATGATGTGTTGAGGGTTTGAGCCCTTTGGGGGCAGGCCAAACTCGAAGTCCCGATGTAGGTCTCGAAACCATAAGAGCAGGAACCCAACCCAAACCTTAAGCAAAGTCCTGACCCCGGTAAAGTGGGTGTCTGTCGGTGTTCTTGGAGTTGATTGTAATCTCATTGTTTTGAGGGTTAGGCGCTGCAAGGGTGACAGCATTCAGGGGTTGGGCCCTATAATTCTGGCATTATGGACGCTTAGAGTTTAGGGCTAGCGGCTTAGAGTTTAGGGTTTACAGTTTTAGGATTAGGGTTTATTATATGGTTAGGGCACAGGGTTTAGGGTTGGGGGGTGGACTCATCTTGAATCCTGGCCCCCAACTCTTGAAGTCTTTGAAGCCTCCAGCTTTGGCACCTTCAAGCCGCTTTGAGCCGCCTTCAACATGCTCAAGCCTACCTACCCAGTGTTCTGAAACTAACGGGGCCCTTTTATATACAGACCCTACATCGTAGGATCCATGTTAAGAAGATCCCTATATGGGTGGTTGTCAAAATTATGGTCCCTGTCTGGGTCCCTAATGTAATACGGCACCTAGTAGTTAGGGTACCTAACCCAAAAAGGGGCCCTAATTTTGACAACCACCCATATAAGTTACCTTCTTGTTCTGAATCTCACATTCGAGGCCAAGCTGAAGGCCGAGAAGAAGCTGGAGAAGCTCCGGGCAAAGCAGGAGAAGCCCTTCGGACAGCAAGGGCTGACATACCCATGTAATGTGTATATACAATTGTACAATGTACATCGTCATGTTTATATGTATATATGTACAGTGCAGTTGTATATACTTACAGATACATATATATATAGAGAGAGAGAGTGAGAGAGAGTGTTGCTTATATTTAAATAAATAAATAAATATATATATATATATATATATACATAAGATCTGGTGGTATTATCCACATGATCACAGTCCCTCATATGATTGTAGTACGAGAGGCAAAACAGCTTGTAAACAAACCAAACCCGAAGCCAAGGAGAACAGATCCTAAACCCCGAATGAAGACACATACCGAGCACACTCCCGAAACCGTAGGCCCCGAACCCCGAGAATCGAAGACAGGCCTTTATGTAAACCCGAAGCCTGACAAATCCTGAGGCAGAAAGTGAAGGAGGAGGAGAAGGCACGGCTGCCTTTTTTCAAAAGCTGTCTTGGGGCTTGTATCCACCCCATAAACTAGTGTTGTCGCGAGAATGTTAAAGTCTACACATGACCGACTACTTCAAGTACCTATCACCCGACTTACTACGTGAGCGGGGTGTGTACCCTGAGCAAGAAACCCTCAACCCTCAGAGCCCTAATTTTAAGCCCAAGCCTTATAAACCCTAAACCCCAGCCCTCGCACTGGTTTATGTGCTCTAGTTTTGGATCCATCCGTGAACCCGGACTCCTGGACCCGAGTTTTCGGGATTGGGTGTTCGGGTTTCGGAATTAGGTGTCAAGGGCTTGGGTTTTAAAGTGTCAGGTTTAGTAGGTTTAGGACACCGTAGGGCCCAGACTCTAAGCTATAACCTCGAACGGCACAACTGGAGATCCGGCAGTCCCTCGAATTCAAGCACCAAAAAGAGGTTCAGAAGGGGATTGACTAAGTAGGGCTTTAAGTGCTTTGGGAAGTAGCTGCAGGGTGGGTTGGGCTTTTCTCCTGTATAGCTTCGGTTCGATATAGATCGGTATACCTGATAGTTCCCTCACTTACAACCCTTCGCATTTTTTTGGCACAGAGGCGGCCAAGCTCAAGGAAGAGCTGAAAGACGCCGCCGTGAAGGCCCCCGGTTGTTCAGGGTTGAGGCTTCTGGGCCTTCATTTGGAATAGACGAGGGGTTTTGAACTTCACATTCTCACTCAGGGTTTCGGGTCGAGGATTTTTTTGGAGGTTAGGGCTAGGAGGTTTTGGGTGCATGTTATTCCTGAAGTTTGGGGTTAAGGGTTGCGGAAGTCGTGTCATGCTAGACAAAGGTTCTGTACGTACTCCCTCAATGTCTACACCGTTGACAAAAACCTGGGTTCTAAGTTCGGAAGCTGGAAGCCCGAACCCCAACGCCTTGTGCTGCACAGCAGTAGTTAAATAGTAAGTTTGTGCACCCCCCCCCCCCCCCCCCAATTGTTCATAGCCCTAATTATATCACAAGCGGTTGAGAACCCGAACCCCTGTAGTTTTGGAATCCCTCATCCTCGAGCATCAGAGCCCAAAGCGGGAGTTTCAGCAAACTTATGGACTCTACCGTCGACACTATACACCATTTAAGCGGGATCCTTATGATGGATCCCAAAACTCTCTGCAGAAGGTATCTTCACTTGTTTCGACCTCCGTAACTCCTAGAAAATCCTTGCGCAACTTTGTAGAGACCCAAATTATCAGTCAATCCTTAACAGTCTTGCCCTCCCCCCACACCAGATTTCCCCCCTGCTACTTGTACAAAAACAAGTTTCGCGGCCCCTGCACTGCAGAATCCTTCTCGAGCATCTATAGTACAACACTGCAGGAGCCTCTTAGAGGAACCTTCTTCGAATTCTTGCGGCTCTACATTAAGGCCTTTCGAGTGACAGTTGTAGTACAGAGCCCTTCTAGACTCTAGAACGCTTGAAAGGACCTGCTTAAGGAGCCTTGTTCGAATTCTCAAGGCGCCTACATGGACCCATATAGTATATTATAGGCCATTATGCTATATTATAGTGTGTTATAGTATATTATAGGATAACATCGTATATTCCAGCACCTAAGCCCCAGGAAGAGGAGGAGGTCAAGGAGCCCCCGCGGGAGCGGCCAAAGAAGAAGGAGATCGCGGCCCGGCCGACATGGGCTGCGAGTGGGTTTTGGGGTGTCTTCGGGGGTTGACTTAGGATTCAGGGTAATATATATATATATATATATTATATATATATATATATATATATATATATATATGTTTTGAAGGGGGGGGTAGCTGAGGGCTGCAGGCCCAGAGTTCAAAGCTCAGGTGTTATTAGATGATTGAAACCGCACCCGCGCCAGGAACAGACCTTGCGTGTCGGATCTCCAGATGTTCCTGTGACTCCGAGGAAAACTCACAAGTATCAGGTTTGGGGACTGGGCTTTCAGGGCTTAGGGGTAGCCTTGTCATCTAAATGCCTCTCTGCTTAACGCTGAGAGTGTTATGGAAAATCTCTGCCATCTGACGTGCGGTCAATCTCTCTGACCAGGAAAATCTTCTTGAAGCAGGGCTGCAAGTCAGAAACAACCAGTGACATCCTAATTCCCTAAGCCAGCTGCAAAATCGAGCAGACCCCATCCGGATATGCTTGCCAAAAAAGCAGCAAAACCCTTCAACACCCAAACCCCAAGGCCCCCCCAAGCCCCTAATCCTTCCCCGAAGCGCTGAACACGGTGCCTGAAGCCCCTGCTTCCCCTTCATTCCCAGGTGATCGAAGCTCCGAAGCCGCGTGAGGGAATGACAAGGCCCCGTGGGGGCGCTTAGGTTTCTGACGGTGTTCTTGAGATTGCTTTAAGTTAGGTAGGTTTTAGGGTTTAGGGTTGAGGGCATTTTTTGGATCTTAAGATTGCTTTAAGCTTGTTCATTTAGGGTTTAGGGTTGCCAGAGTTAGGCCGAGGATTGAGGGCTTGGGACTCTTGGATTCCTCGAGGGTTTTCGGGTTGTAAAGGGCCCCAGGATTAAAGGGTTGAGTGTTTAGGGTTGTAAGGGGTCCCAGAGAAGAATTGATTCAAAACAAAGAAAGAGCAATACATGAGCATGCTTAAGGCGCCCGAAAGACTAAACCCGAATCACGGAAGCCCTGAACCCAGAGCATTTGACTCTAATCCCCACCGCTAATTCCTCAACCCTTCATCCCCGAAACCTGACCCCTTAACTCGTAATCCCTTAGTAACCCATAATTGAAGCTGTTAAACCCACGGTTTAGGGTTTAGGGAACCCATAACCCATACTTGCAGCTATTCAACCCGAACTCCGGACATCTCACTTCACAGAAGATCCCTCGGACCAGGGCGAAGGTCGAGCCGGAGGACGACGATCGATGGCGGCCCGATCCGGAGGACACGACGCCCCCCTTGTTTTCTAGAAGTGATACTGTATTTGGATTTCTACTCGCACTAGCACAAACCATGAAGACCTGGATGGTTTGCACAGGAGTCTCGCCGGGAGCGCGACTCGTCGAAGCCTCAGCCTTTGAGGGAGAAGAAATCTTCGGCGGGGGCTGTGTTTGGTGGGTCTGGTGTTTAGTGTTTGCATTTTGGGGTTTTGGGGGTTCAGGGTTCCTCGCAAGGGTACAGTACGGATTTTCAATGTTCGCAAGAGGGGCAAGTCCTAGAAGAAGCATTCCCGCCAACCGCTGCCCTTCTGGGGGCTTACAGATGACAAGTTGACTTTGCGCTAGCGCTATAAGTGCATGAACAAAATCAAAGAAACCGTGGTAAGTGCACATATGTAAGTATATGGATATATACATAGATATCAATCTACATACATGTCTGAAACAACAGAAACATCAAGAGTGTGTCTTGCGACTGCGTCTCCCTACCCTTAGGAGAGGCAAACATGAAGCCCTGTAAGCCGTGCTCTACAGCCTGGTAGCCACCAGCCCGAAAGGCTTATGGTGACTATTCGGGTGGTGTCATGTACTGTAGCCGTCCCTTTGCCCAGACCTGCAAGGGGCTTGAAGTTCGTTATTGAGCAGCATTCGACAAGCAGCAGAACCCTACACCCGAAGTTAGGGAACAACAAGTCGTTTCTCGTCCTGTGCAGGGACAACACAATGCCTCTGCACGCGAGCAAAGCAGACCCCCTGCAGGCGCCGGCATCGAGACGACGACCGGCACAGGGACGACGACCGACGTCGGGGGGATGATCGGCGCCGGGAGGACGACCGGCGCCGGGAGGATGATCGGCGGAGAGGCGAGTTGCCTCATCGGTTGAGGGTTGTTGAGGTGGAGGGCGGAGGGTCATGAGTTGAGGGTTCCATGCCTCTGGGTTTGTATGAAGATTTCAGCTGGTAAACATATTTGACTTTGCCAAATCTATCAAGCACCGCTTGAAGCCTCGGCAACTTACACGGCAGCAATCTCGACTTTGAGCAGCTTGGGTGCAGGATTGATTAGGGCCGCAAGCATCCTACAGCCTCTTGGTTTCCTTAACTTGCCACAAACCCTACGCTCCTGCATTTCAAGCTTGTGATTAACGTCCTGACCTCCCACCCGGAATACTAGATGCCTGCATGTGGACGCCCAGCCAGCAAAAGCATAGTCGCACTAGAGCAATGCTGTCGACGTACAGTCCCGAAATATTTCAACTAGCATAATGCATTGTATTGTGAGTCATACTTTAACGTACTGTAGTATGTACCCCAAAACCTTCTTAAGCTATACTGTATCTATATATATAAAGATAGTATAAGATACCCCAAAAGGCCTTTGACAAACGCGGTCCCGGAATCTATTTTCACAGCTGCGACTTCAGGCCGCGATCGCTCCGAGGATAGCTCCGACGACGACGACGACTCGGACTCCGACGACAGCAGCGCTGCTCCTAACTTTGGGTGTGTTTTGAGGGCTTCCGGCGATATTTACCTTTGCTGCGCGTTGTTGCAGTATGTTTTGAAAGTGGATTGTTGATTAGTTTGATCTGGGGCACAGGGCCCTCGCAGTACTCTCTGCCAGCCCTCTGCAGAATGTTACGGAGGAATAAGCACTCCGCCGCCCCTGTGACTATCGAACTTGTTATGGAGGAATGCTACAACCTGTTGTATCTCTGCCGGACTTGAGTGGATAGGTAAGCATCTGTATCTTCACGCTTCACCACGCTGCTGGGGTGGAAAGACTGGTAATTACAACAAGGCTCCGCTGGATCTGTGTGCTGCAAACATTTTGTTGCGGCTCTTTGGATATTCCTCGAGGGCGAAGCAGAAAATCCTGAAATTCCCCATATATCCTATGGCTCCTTGCAGTTGCAGTGTTTGGCCCCAACCCCTAAACCCCTAAACCCCCAACCCCTAAACCCCTAAACCCTCAAACCCCTGAAGCCTTACTGTTTTGAGGAGACCCGGCCCTCCCCCAAAAAACTCCGTCGCCCAGGCGATTCGTCAGACAGTGACGACAGCCGCGATCAGCGAGGCCCCTGAGTTCCCCCTGAGTCGGGAGTTTCCGAAAATAAGGGACCAATATATAGCACCTTAAATAGTAGGATCCTCATGAGGACCCGGGAGGGGCGGGGGAACCCACACCACAGGGAACCACAGGGGGGGAGGGGGATACCATGGGGTGGGGGGGGGAGGGGGGGCCTAGCAGCGCTGCACCATATGGTGCCGCGTCGCCGCGTCGCAGGCCCCCCCCCCCCCCCCCCCACGGTATGCCCCCCCAACCCCCCCACCCCCCAAACCAGGCCTCTCGTCCCATCACAGTCACACGTCATCCGCGCAACTCCCCCCCACGCCAGGCCTCGCCTCTCGCCTCTCGCCTTGGCAAACGGGGGGAGGATAACCCACAACCATGGAACCACAAGACAGCGAACCACAGGGGCGGGGTGGGGAAGGATAATCCACACAGGGAACCACAGGGCTCCTTCCCCTTCCCCTCTGTTCGACACACAAATGAGAAATATGGGGTTGCGCACAATGATGTTGATGTGCTAATCCCAGTGTGGCTGTTGGTGGTACCTTTGCTCTTATGTTGCTCTGGGCTTCAGCACCGCAGGTTCATTGCTTTCTCTAGTTGAAAACCGTGCTTGGCTTGTGATGTTCTTGCGAAAACTGTACCGACCGTTGTCATTCTAAGCCAAGTTTCGGTTGGGTTCGTTAAAAGTAAGCTCGAGCACATGATTGAATGATTTTCATTCGGGACTCTGGAGCAAGGGACCGGAGGAGAGTGCGGATGGGGATCATGACCACCATCTTCGTCGTCATCATCACCATCAGACTCATCACTATCATTGGCTTTGCAGGTCGGAGTTCAATGGAACTGTATCTCATCCGACGTTCCAAAGCCTTAGCAACCGGACGCCCAACCAGCAATAGCCATGGAAGTGGGCGCAGCCGGCCGCAACCACAGGGGGGAGGGGCGGGGGAACCCACACCACAGGGAACCACAGGGGGGGGAGGGGGATACCATGGGGTGGGGGGGGGGAGGGGGGGCCTAGCAGCGCTGCACCATATATAACCCCTAGTTTCGGAGGGTTCAGGGCTGTATAGAGTACCAGGGCTACTTTAGGGTTGATGCGGCAAGAATAGGGTTTTGGGGTTGGGAGGGGATTCTAGCATGTTGGGCGATGCAGTTTTTCTCCACACCAGGTTCTTCGAGATTTGCAAGGCCGACACAGGAAAAATACCAATGCGGTTAATTAATGACGACCATAACGGTATGCTAGTAATTAAGCAAGAACCAGAAGATAACCGAGAAAGGCAGAGGCCGCTTTTGCCAAGCAATACTCAAACACAATGCGGGGGTCTTGAAGGAAAGCTAGGCAGCTCGGCTTTTTGCGGTTCGAGCGGCTCTGACGGATTTTTTATTTGGGGTGGGCTGGTCTGGGGGCTTAGGGTTCAGATTCAGGGTTAAGCCTTCAGCCCAGCATGAACACGAAGCCTCAACATCTCAGATCCGAATCCGTAACGCGCGTAACAGACGCCCCCACGCTGTATGAATCTTTTGTTTCCCCTCACGAAAGTCGATAGGAACCCTACGAATCCTTCGCCCCCGGCCCACAATTTCTCTCAGCCCTAGATCGATTTGGGTCCGACCTCTAACCCTTTCAACTTCATCCCAACAAATACCAAGCACGGCATCCCAAAGACACATAACTACCAGCAAGAACGTGATGAACTCCGCGGCTCTTTGCCCGAGCCAGGCCGCGGCGGGGACCGGAGGCGCGAGCGCCGCCACCTCGGCTTGGCCTATGGAAGGGATCGGGGTGGTCTTGGTGAAGGGATCCGCGGATTTAGCGCTTCGGCTTTTTTTTGAGGGAGAGAGTCGGCATTTCCGCTTCAGGGAGCCAGGGTCTAAGGGGGGCTGCGATTGTGGCTTTCGGGTTTAATCCAGGTCCATGGGGGGAGGCCTGCAGAATCCGGGTTTGGGGTTGTAGCAACCTCTTCTACATCCGAACCCTGAACCGCAGAAGCTTCGGCTCCTTTCGCGTTTCGGATTCTGGGGGGTCCTATGGCCCATAGCTGCCGGTTCGGGGGTTTCGGAGTGGCTTCACTGTCATGACCTGGCATTCGGGACGTAAACTTGCATCAAATGCTCCCGCTGTTCGCTACTGCGACTGATTCGCACCTCGACAGCTGTGGGTTCTCATCATTCACGTCTTTTGCAGCTGTTCGGTTTGTTTCATTCCCTGAACATCGCTGAACCGCAATCCGGTCCCTGAAACTTAAGATGGAGCTACATTATCAACTCGATCTTCTGGCCGTGTCTGCCGGCCCCAGAGCACGACAACCGCCGAACCTTAACCGCACCTTGCATCTTTAGGACCCCAAGCCAATAACTGCCAGCCTTCGGAGTGGGAAGGCTTATTCTGAGGCGTTCTGGGTTCAAGGTTTCGCTAAGGTTGCGCAGAAGCATCCAGGCCTGCAGGTCTCTAAGTCCTACTTGGAGGTTCATGGGTAGTTATAAGTAGGGTAACTATACTTATAAGCCATATTAGGGGACTCATAATTTATGAACCCCCTTATAACTACCCATGAACCTCCAAGTGCATCATGGCTAAGGCGAGCCGCCACGGCGTCGTGAGCGTTGCGGCCCCAGCCTAAAGCTGTCCCTTAAATCCTAAACCCTCTAAACCCCTAAACCCTAAGCCCTACACCCTAAATATCGCAGAAACTCCCCGTTTGGGGGCCTTCGGCCTCGAGACTTCAGAGGGCTCCTTCAATAAGGGCTCTTGATATAACAAAGCATTAAAGGCGGATCCTTAAAGGTTAGTCTAAACTGTAGTTTTTGGACCCCCCTGAGGCATGGGTACCTGATTAGTGAAGAGCCAGCGCTACACTCTAGCGACGAATATTCCTTAGTTGAGGTTAGAGATTGTCGTGTTTTGTTCGGGGTTGGGGGGGCTGATCCACTTTGGTGGGACTGCGCACTCACATTCACCAGGGCTGTTGAACACGTTTGGCGGGTTCCGTCCAGGCCTGTTTGTGCGCAGGCCCAGCGCAGGCTTTGTCGAGCCGTTTCGGCTGAGGCTTGAAGCTGTCCCCGGTCCTCAGACTCCCAGACCCAACACGGCCCCTAGCTGTAAATTCCGACTGTATCGTCACAGGCCACCGTGCGTTTGATATACACTGGATACCATTCCGTGCAACCCGATGCCCCATGAACCTTCCACCCTGAAAACCCGCGCACCGAGCCGAGCACAGTGGCTCATCCCTACCAGCCGGCAAAGACGATCTGCGGCCGGATGGCACCAGATTGATGGTGAGCAACCTGCGACTGCCCCCGTCGCGCGAGCAAGAAACCTTGGAAATTCGAATCCAACACTTTCCAAGAATCCCGCACTAGGCGCCGTGAACCGGGTTCCATTCCTTTAACGAGTTCCTCAGGCAGCCCGGAGGCGCGCCCCGCCCGCCGCGAACGCCCGGGGCTTGGGGTCTGCTTAGAGCTGCAAACTCTCTCGGCCTCTCGCTCGCTCGCTCGCTCTCTCTCTCTCTCTCTCTCTCTCTCCCTCGCTCCGTGTCTGTTTCCCCCTTCCTTTTTGTTACCTTCCGTCTTTGTCTCTCCCCCTTTCACTTTCCAACAGTCAGCATTACTGTTTGTCTGCCTGTCTGTATGTATATATGTTATTTATCATTGTCCTTGGTGGCTAAGGCTCCCTCCGTATTGGAAATCCCTGTGCGCAGAATTCAGCAAAGCTTGTTTTGGTCGGAACACTGGGAGGAAGAGCCCAAGGGCTTTTTCTTGAAGTCTCAACCGGGAATTCAGAGTACACCGACCTCTTGATACGGTTCATTTCTGTTGGATGACCCCACTGTAGAGAATGATAGCACCAGGTAGACCAAATATGCAGATGAGGAAGTTCAGTTCAGACCCTAAACCTCAAATTGAACCCCACGCCCCTGATGTGAACAAGGCAGTGAGGAGGAGCGGCGACGCGCCTTGGCGAGAGTGATTATGGAATGCCAGCAGTCTTTTCCAGAATATCAGGGGTTCAGGATTTTGGGGTTCGGGGTCTGGGGGATGTGGGGTTTCGGGCCGCAGAACGTTTCGTGAAGCTTTTGAGTGTTCCAGGGCTGAGGGTTTCAGCTGTCTAGGTTCGGCGTTCTAGGCTTTCGGGTTCTAAAGCCAGTTTCTCCTAAGTAAATCCGACATCCATTCCCTTCATCCATGAATCCGGCACACCAGGAGCTTGCGGCCACCAATGTTAAGAAGCCTATATAGAATCAAGTCGTTTTCTCCCACGCAGCGCATTCAACCCTAAAACTCCCCAAGCCCGTACCCACAATCTAAACCCTAAATCCCCGAACCCTAGACCCTAAACTTCTAAACCCTAAGTCCCTAAACCCTACATCCCCAAACCCTCCTAAACCCAAAGTCCCCCAAGTGCTTGCTAACGCTCAAGTGGGAGTTTCCCAAAATAGCTATATAGTGCCCTAAATGGTAGTATCCTTATTACAAGGATCCCAAAATAAGATACCCCGAATATTCGGAGCCTCTAAATCCTCCCGGAGCCCTTTAAAGGAGCCCTTTGCTTCCAGAACCCTTATAATACCCCTTAAAAGGAGCCCTAAGGTACCCCGAATTTTCCGTAACTCCCAAGTGGCGGCAGGGCCGGAGAAACGGCGAGAACGCGATCGCCTCAGCCCTCGGGTTGATAGTTCCTTGGATTTCTGCGAGGCTTTTGGGTTTAAGGGTGTAGGGGTTTAGGGGTGGGGATGTAGGGGTTTAGGGTTTAGGGGTTTAGGGGTGTAGGGGTTTAGGGTCTATAGGGGTTTAGGGGATTTAGGGGAATTTGGAATTTGGAACCCTGGTCGACACCAGATTTGTCCTTCTCTTTCCTCCAGCCCTGCTCACTAGGTTAAGTTCACTGTTGCTTTCAGTATTCTCTTCATCTTAACCCGCTTGTGCCTCATCCCCAACCCCTGAGTCATAGATCAGAGACACCCTGCCACCCTACAAGTTAACACCAAGATCATCAGCCGACACAGGGTATTCCACCCAGTGAGCCTTGAAGCCTGGAATGACAAATAGTTCCAGCACGAGTGCAAACAAATTCCAGGGCTTTGACGATTTGAGAAACAAAACAACGGTTTGAAGCACTGAAGAAACCAGTTGAACATCACACGGTAGAAATACAGCATATCGTACATAATGTCAAACTCACGTGTGCAAAATTCCGTGCATTCTTCGAGAACGTCCTCGCAACATCGCCATGCGACCTGAGCCGGACATGGAGACTGGTCATATACTCTGATGAGGTTTGCCGGGGAAACCAGCTTAAGGTGACCAATGCCAGAAAGGTTCATGCCTTTTACTGGGCATTCCAGGAATTTGGGCGGGCTCTGATGGCAGAAGACGGCTGGTTTACACTGACCTGTGTCAGAACACAGACAGTGAACAAGCTGCAAGACGAGCTCTTGCAGCTGACGAAACACTGCTTCATGTCCTTCTTCGAGCCCGGCACGAATCTGCTGCATGGCGTAAGTCTTGGGTTTTTTGTCGAAATCCTGACTTTGTTTTGGCCACAGCAGACACCTTGCTGGCGGACGAGAGTGCATTAAAACATATGCTGGAGTTTAAAGGATCCTTTGGGAAGATCCTTTGCTTCCTTTGCAGGAACACCATCAACGAGCGATATGCAACACTGGGATAATGCAGCATACAATGTTATACTACATTATATAATTACTAGAATCTAGTATACGATGTTATTAGTTATACTACATTGTGTTATGGCGCACAACCAAAATGCCGAAGGCGAGCCATCCTCCTCGGGTGATGAGGCTCGCCGAGCTCGCCCGGCGGCTCAGACAACTGGGCTCAGACGCTTCGAGGTTCTTACGGTTTAATGTAGGAACCTGATTAAGAAATCCTGGGCCTATAACCCCAACATAGTAGGACTCATATAGTCGGGCTTAGAGGGTTCGAGGTTCTTACCCTAGGGCTCTAAGGACTCATGTAGTAGGGCTTTTGGGCCCAAAGCTCATACTATGTAAGGCTTTTGGTGCTATTTTGATTTCCAGGGTTAAGGTTTAGGGTTGAGCTTTCAGGGTTTAAGCTTTTTTTTGGGCTGGGGGGAGATTCGGGTTTCCGGGTGTAGGACGTTTAGGGCGGCGAGATTATTGGGTTGCTATAAGGGTGTCTATTCGGGTTGTTACAAATCTTACTCCATAACTAGATTTGGGGGGTCTGACAGTTCAGCTATGGAGGTTTCAAGTTTGTTACGTTGGGGTTTCTGGTTTCTGGGTCTTAGGGTTTATGAAGTTTTATCGTGTCTAGAGTCTAGAGTGATTCCTTGCAAGGAAGTCTTAATGTGGGGCCGGCTCTGGGGTAGATGATTATACAACAAAAAGCATACATCGAAATTCCAAGGAACAGTGTTCACAGCTATTCAGCCTGTTACATTACCAATCGCACAAGAATTAGTTGGGCCGATCGGGCGACTGCCTATTGGGTTTAGATTTAGCATTGCGGTGAATTATCTGCAGCTTTTCGGGGGCGGTCGGGGACTGGGCCCAGGCTTCAGAGCTTTGAGTCCGTTGCATTGGGTTCCGGGTTTGAGCGCGCAATGTCTGTCAGGTTTCAAATTCAGGTCTTTATCGGATCTACGGAAGCCCTGTAGAGAAGCAGGTGGTGTCAGGCCAGGGCTGCCAGCCCCGATGTCACATCTCATGCCCTGAAGGCTAAACGGAACCCTAAACTTTGCACTCGCCTCCTGCCCCAGACTACACCATGTCACCACATCAAAACCCTTGACGGCCGTGCATGACATTATAGAAGAACTCCGGCGAGGAAGAGTGATCAGCTCTTGAATCCAAACATTCAGTCAGATCACATAAGCCACTGCTTATCTCAGCAGCTTTAGTATGTATGCAAGAATGCATGCATTATATATATATATATATATATAGTATGTAAGTATATGTATATATATATATGTATATATATATATATATATATATATATATATATATATATATATATATATATATATGTTTCGTATGTATCTAGAAAATTCACATCTATGTATATATATATATATATATATATAGTCTGCAAACACATGGTGTTTCGTCTCTGTGTCTCAGAGATATATCGACACTCACCGAAACAACACAGCTTTGGCAGGGGAGCGGAAGGTCAAGCCTGCCGAGAAGGAGAAGGAGAAGGCACCCGCCAGGGGGCTTCCACCTGAATAGCAGCAAGGGAGGTCGGAACAATTGGTCAACGTACCCCCTTAAATAACGCACCAAAACAAAGAAACACTATTCCCAAGACTCAACCCCCTGGTCTGAGGAGTAGGGCCTTAGGGCATAAATATTCGGGTTCCCTGGAGCTTGAGCCCGAAATCGGGGGTGGTGGCTTTGGCTAGCCGTTAGGGGCGGATACGGGTCGGTAGTATTCTCCCAGCTCAACCCGATCCCGACAAAACCCGCCTAGACTATCCTGAAGCCTCAAGCCATTTAACAAATGCTCCTGAAGTCCCAAACCCTATTTCCAAGCCTCCAATTCCTGAAACCCACCCGCCCGAAACCGCGAAGCCCAAACTCCAACAGAAGGCCATGCGGCCTCGCTCATCTTTGAATCAGGTTCCGGAGGAGAAGCCGAAGAAATCGAAAGCTCCGGAGGCTTGGCAGGGAGTTCGATTTGAGCTTTCAGGGCGAAGAGCCTGCTTAAGACTGCAAAAATTTGCAACTCAAGGGCCTTGAATATGCGGTTTCGCTGTTTGCGGCCTCAGAATTTAGGAGCTTGCCGCTTCACTAGTTCAGGGCGGGCTTGTTTCGGGGTTGGGCGTATGGGTTAGAGCACGAGCATGTCACGTGACTGCTCTGTTGAGCTCAAGCCTAATCACACAAATTTAACTCCTAAACCCATCAACACTCAAAGCAGCAAAGCTAAGACCTTCAGCCATTTCTTGGGGGGGCCTAGCTCCTAAACTCTAACGACGAGGCTCGTAGCACTCAAACACCTCAAGATGTAAACCATCCAACCTGTGAATTGATAACCATGTAAACCCGAAAACACAACCCCTAAACCCTAACCCTTGCTTGAAACCATACCCCTGGGAGGAAGAGCCACCCAAGAAGGTCGCCAAGGCAAATCAGTTTGGGATGCTACAATATAGTAGCATCTTCACTAATGACACTAATCTAATGAAGGTTCCGGGATGAATGCGGGTTCTATACGAGCTTGTGGACTTCTTTCAGGATTCTGTGATTTTGGTTTTGGTGGTTGTTGGGGGGTGTTTAAGGCTGTAATGCGTGTAAGGGTCTGGGTTTCAGGGTTTCAGGGCTGTTGGATCTTCTGGACTTGAGGCCTCGAGGGTTAAAGGTCATCTTTCCTGTGATCGCCCGTGCCACGCTGACGTGACTCGGATCATGAGCTAAGGTGCAGAGGCACGTGTGACTGACACAGATACATCCGCGCATCCTTCACACCAGTTTGTTTCCGCGCTGAGTACGTGTGCTTGCTGTTGTCGATGATGATGATGATGGTGATGACGATGCAGACGATTGTGGTGATGTAGTCCGTTGCGAGCCTGAAGCGTTCAGGTGCTGTTCCCCGGACAGGATTCCCACAAGGTTTGCCTCTACCGCACAAGGAGTTCATGCAACGGCCGGTCCTCCCAAACCCTCCCATAAACGCCACCGGGTCTGGGCCGTCAATCCAAAGCCTTGGCCTGACACTGAACCCATAAGAGTTTGAGCCCTAAGCGTTAAGAGTTCGAACTCCTGAAGCCATCAGCCCCAAACTCTCAAGCTCCCAACCCTAAGCTCTCATAAATCCCTAAACTCAAAAACCCCAAGCCTACAAGTCTAAAGCATCAAACCCCAAATGCTACACCCGAGCCCCCCGAAGCCCTAAACCTTCAAAACCCGAAACTTGCCGTTAAACACCACAATACAGCAAAACACCGAACCCCCTGAAGCCCCCCAGCCGAAGAGGTAGCGGAGGAAAAGCCGAAGAAGCCCAAGACCACCGAGGCGATGGCAGCGCCTCGGGTTGGGGGGAAGCAGACTTTATATAGGAGTTTCCGAAAATTCGGTGTACCTTATTTTGGGGTCCTTATAATCAGTATCCTGCTATTTAGGGTGCTATACTAGGGTCCCCTGTTTTGGGAAACTCCCATGTAAGGGTTATTGAGGGTCTATACGGGTCATAAGAGGAGTTGATGAGCTTGGGGTTGATATGGTTTCTAGGGGTTGATTTATCAAATTAAGGAGGACGCGGATTCTTTAGGGGTTTATATGGGCTAGAGAGGGTTGTAGAGGCGTTGAAAACGAGGTAAAAGAGTTCAGTGGTTTACAATCAGTATAACAGTTTGCAAAGGCTGTATAGGGACTTGGGTTTGTAAGGGTATATAAGGCTTAACAGAGTGAGAGTTTGTGCACCACGGTTGTACGTGGTTGTGAAGGGTGTCGACATGGGTTTTGAGCTGTATTGTAAGGGTTGTGCATGTGGCTCTCTTAAGATCAGGATGACATGGAGCCTATTATTCAGCTTCTCGACTCTGGGGGTCCCTTAGCGTCTGAACCTCGCATATGAAACACGTCTTCTGCAAAAAGGCCTGATGAGTTGTAGAAAGATACTAAGCGATTGGAGTGCTGTTGCAGGAATGGGGACATCCATCAACATGTTCAGAACTGGTACAGCTCTCCGAAAGCTCGAGGCACTAGTAAACGCATCTCGCACAGACAATGCCAACATGGTCACCAACGGGCCAGCATGCCAAAGCCGACAGAGGAGACAGAGAAGGAATCTGATCGGACCTCACGCAAAGTAGGCAGTAACACGACAGGAAAACACGAGGCCCAGAAACCACTTTCGGATGTGCCCAAATTGCATCAGGCTGTTGGAGAATCGGTGGAATGCCGTATTAGGGTTCAGGAGATGGAGTTCATGTTGTCGTCGGGTGTAGCTTGCCCAATCCCAAATATCGAAGAACAAATCAGTAAAGGTGATTCGTATATGAGCAGCGTGAACAATCATGAACACATCAATATCGATAGATGATTGTAGGCCTCAGCCGTGTCTGCCACAAACTCAAAAAGATGCCCTCAATACTTGGGGTCTCCTCGTCGATCTTGGAAGATGTCCGGTATGAGAGGTTCCTCTGCGGACGATGTACAACTCAGTAGACAGTATGCCAACAACCGACCTTTCTACGAGAAAACAACAGCTGTGCTGGACACCAGGTTGACCGAAATCTCCGCAGCGTGTGCCCAAACCACTAAACCGCTAAACTCCTAAACTCTGTGGCTCTACGCCCCTAAATACTAAAGCCCTAGAGCCCTAGAGTAGAAGCCAGAAAGTTGGAACATCATTATCCATCCTAAATCCATGTTCTTCCTGTCTAAGGTTTGCTGTAAGTCCTGACGAAACTTAAACCCCTTAGTCGCCAGGCGGAGGAGAAGCCGAAGAAGTCGAAGGCACCCGAGGCACCGTGGTTTGATTTGATTGGACGGGAGGTTCCCCCTGTATATGCAGAAGAAATGTACCTGCACTGTGGGGGTCTGAATAGTTTAGAGTATTACTTCGTAGGTTTCTCCAAGCATATGTAGAGTATAGGATCCCCCGAAACACTGTTCGAATCAGCAAGGTCCATAGAATACTTGCAAACTCCGAAGCACTTGGACATTGGAGAAGGGTCTGGGGTAGAAGCAACTAGGGAAACGGTGCTGGTATCTCCAGCGACCCTTACAAAACCCTTCTACCCCTAGCCCGAAACCCTAAACCCTAACCCCCTCATATGGACAAAGGCCACTGCACTTTTAAAGAACAAACCCTTAAACCCTACACCTACCCTGACCCGTCCCCCAAGCCCCTGAGTACAGTCCTCAAAGGATCCTCCGAAGAAAGCGCCGAAGGCCGCGGTGCAGCTGATGCCTTGGGGTGTTTTAGAGTTCATAGGGCTTAGGGTTTTGGGTTTAGGAGTTTGGGGTTTAGGAGTTTAGGGGTTTGGGGATTCTAGGATGAGGGGCTTAGGGTATATAGGTTTTAGGGTTTAGAGCTTCGTGATTGGAGTACAGGGTTTTGAACATGTTGCGGTTTAGGGTTTAGGGCTTCGGGTTTGGACTGTGTTTTTGTGTTTTCTTTTTTTTGGAGGGGGGGCGGGGTTGGGGGCTTAGGGTTTCATGTATCGTGCTCTGTGGCCTGAATTGTTTGTGGTCGTATCCACTCCGTTCCGCGCAAGAGGTTTTTCGGGCCTCGCATGGGTCAGGATCTCTGTATGTAGCCCGCATCTGTGACCTTTACAACAAGCTACCCCAAAGCCCATACAGGTTCATCCGAGCACACAGAAAGCCAAAAACAGAGCTTCCAATTTGTGATGGCCAGGCAAAGCCTTCGAATTCTGGACCTTGAAATCTGAAATCAGAGCGGCCTATATGTAATTTGACTTAAACTTGGGCTTGGGGGTAGATTCTACTGCAATCGGTATGCGCCCCAAACTAGTATCAAGGTGTTTTTTTTGGGGGCCCCTGTTTTTCGCCTTAAAGCCCCGAAGCTCCAAGCCTTAAGCCCCCAACCCCAAGCCCTAAGCTTTCGGGCCCTACCTTAACCCTGAATAACCTAGCTTTTTTGGGGGGCTCCTTATCATGATTTCCTTATATAAGTCCTAAAAAACGTGGGTTTTTTTCAGGGTTAAGAAAAAAACCCTAAACTCAAAAACCCCTTAACCCCTTAACCCTAGACTCTAAACCCCTAAGCCCCAAACTGCCCCTGAAGTCTCCGCTCTTCGCTCCTCGGAGCACAGCTGACAGGTGGCCGAGGAGCCGAAGAAACCCGAGAAGGCCGGAAGCTCGGACTGCCCTGGGCATCAACATAGGCCCAAGAGCCTGACAAAGTAGGGTTTAGGGTTTAGAGGTTTAGGGAAAGCCTTATATAGTATGGTCTTTGGGTTTAGGGTTTAGGGCTTTAGGGCTTTAGGGGTTTAGGGGTTTAGGGCTCAAAAGCCTTATATAGTATGGTCTTTGGGCCCAAAACCCTGCAAAGAGCGCCGAAGCCCGCAGGGCTTCACTGAGAATTGTTGCATCTCTGGAATCCCAAGGCACCCAGAATTTGCACATTAGTTTTGTGATGAAGGCGTGAACCCCTCAACCGAAACCTAGCGTGCTGGCGCGACGCCTGCAGTAGGTTGGCGCGCATATATGGTACCATATGTATCAAAAGCAGTGTACCTAGGCATTTCAACGTAACTGGGCCTCGAGGGTAACCCAACCTCAGTTAAATACCCGGAGTTGTGAACTCCCAAAGCCCGAATCCTTCAGACCCTAAGCCTTACTTGGAGGTTAAGAGGACTTAGCAAGTAAGGTTATAAGTACCGTTCTTGGGGTATACAAGAGAAAACGATCCCGTAGGCATTTGTGCGCGGTTAAGCCCATAATTCTATATCCTCTCATTTTCGCCTACATTCTCGCCTAAACCCTTTGGGCTAACGAGTAGACCCTAAACCCGAATCCTTACGTATTGCTGCAGGCGCCGGCCACCAAAACATCCACCAAGGCAGGGTGGGAGAGTTGCAGCACAGGCCGAAAGGGCCCCGGACCGAGCAAGGTTTCTTAACCGCAACGTCGTTGCAGAATCGCAACGGTTATGACATGTTATGACCCTAGTCTAGCATCCTTCAATCCGAAAGCTTCTACTCCATTAGTTTCACAATCCTGAAAGGTCAGTGGACTGAGGAAGTAAGGTTATAGGTTTCTGCATGTAGACTATACCGGTAGAGAACTAGAGTTGCCTTGTAGCCCTACTTTACTATGTCCCCGGATCCGTTGAGCAGACCAAGCCCTAATTTGGCTCAGGGTTGCTTACTACATAGGAATACCATGGAAGTGGTTATCTACATCACTATGCTATGTCCACAAAGCTTAATTTCTAGTACGTATAGTCCTGTAATGCATACATATGTCCCCGAAGGCCTTATTCTAGTTAGTAAGGCCTCTTTTCGAACCCAAGAGGCCGCCGAAGAGCCCAAGAAGACCTCCAAGGCCAGCTGCAAGGGTTTTGCGGAGGTCTTGGCGGCTGAAGCTTACCTTAACCCTGCATAACCTTTCTGGGGTTCCTTATTATGATTTCTGTATATAAGTCCTCAAAAATGTAGGTTCTTCGGGGTTAAGGTAGGGCTGAGGCAATATGGGAACGGGTTGTGGGCTTCGGGAACATGGGGCTCGGGGGTTTAGGGCTCAGGGAACATAGGGTTGCGGGGGTTTAGGGCTTGTAGCGAGTATGGGATAAAAGGGGGTCAAGGTTTGGGGCATACGGGGTTACTAGGTTGAAAGTTTGGGGAATTTGAGGTAATGGTTTCGGGTGTGCAGGGTTTCAAGGTTTACAGGGACTGCGGTGGCTTCCCTACAATCCTCAGCCGCAAAGCCAACAAGGCTCATGACAGGAACCCCAGAACCCTGAACCCCCAATCCTAAAAAGCCCTGAACCCTTATACACCCTAAACCCTGAACCCTTAAACCCCTAAACCCTAAAACCCTAAACCCTTAAACCCCAATAAACCCTAACCCGTTACAAACCCTGAACCCTTAAACCCCTAAACCCTAAAGCCCTAAACCCTAAACCCCCAAACCCTAAAACCGGAAGCCTACGAGCGCAGAGCCCCACAGCCTTCAACCGACACAGAAGTTATGTTCAGACCGAGGCAGCCGAAGAGCCCAAGAAAAGCTCAAAGGAGCCCTGGGTTTTGCTTCGGGCCTGGGCTTCTGGAGTTTGGGTTTTTTGGGGTTTCGGGCGTCGGGATTACGAATTACGGGATTCGGGCTCCGAGTTGTAGGTTCGTTGGTTGAAGGCAGCGGGCTTTTCAGGCTTTCGGCACTTATTGCTTAAGGTTCAAATCTTAACTAAACCGCTGAGAGGCTTTCGCAATGGTTTGGGATGTGAGGTTTGGCTTGCAAAAGGTTTGGTGCAAGGTATTGGCGTCAAAGTAGACAGTTTAGCGATTGGAGGTTTCAGGATGTTGGAGGCTTGCAGACGCTCCGTCAAAGTCCGTCGAAGCTTCAAGGTTTCGTGGAACTGTTTCCACGGGCTGGGGAGCTTCTTGTCAGTGGGGGTTTGACGAGGTGTGGGGCCTTATGACTTAACCGACAGGCTTTCGGGAGATCCCAGAATACAAACCAAGAAGGCCCACGGCACCGTAGTCGACTCCGACGTTCAGAAAATCCCCGTACAGTCCTGAGCACCCATACTATACCATAATTACTATATACCTCAAAGCTGCAGCCTGTTCATTAAGGCCCCTGTATCGGTTGCAGGCAGCCGAAGAGCCCAAGAAGACCTCGAAGGTCCGGGGACTCGGCTTCATGTTGAGGGCTATGCATTGGGAGTTGCATTGGGAGTTTAGGCTTTGAGCTTTCAGGCTTGGGAGTCAAGGGTTTCGGATTTCAGGCTTGAGGCTGCAAGCTTGTGGGGACCGGTTTTCAAGATGCTCCACGGGCTGAGTAACCGTGTACTCGCCAAAATTTCAATTGAGTTCCTCTGGGCCCGCCGGACAAGGGCTTCACTGCACCACGTGGGCGTTGGATTCTGGGTGTCGTGTAGGACTTAGGCGACCGACCACAGATAGTTGTCCAAAGCCGTTGCTACATCCCAAGATTAAACGCCGTCAGAAGCACACAATTTAGGAAAAGAGATCATAGGAAGACATGACACCCGAAAATGCCGAGCACAGAGGACCTATTCCGGGGCAGATCTATGCCAGGCATGATGAAATCCCACCAACATAGCTACAAGATTTATTAACGAAAAGCTCAGAACTTAGCTGGACTCCCGACCTTGTGCAGGCCGCAGAAGAGACCAAGAAGACCTCCAAGGCCTTTCCTGCGTCTTCTTCTTTCTCGCTCTGTTTCATCAACCAACCAAATAATTATTTGGTTAAGGTTAATTAATGAACTACCGAAAAGAAATTAGGGAACTAAACAGTTCTGTGAATTAATGAACTAATTCACCAGCTAAATAATTGACTATTTAATTAACTAATTCGCTGATTAAGTAATAATTTGTCATTCAGATAGTTCGGTAATACATTCATGGATTAATTAGTCAGTTAATTAATTATGTAATTAAACATTTAGTAGTTAATAAATTAACTATGCAGTTAAAGAATGTATATATTTATATAATGATGCACATGCATGTACACATGTCTTTGCATATCTCCTACAGAGATGTGTTTCTATCCAGCTGAACTTCATCGGCCTCAGGGGCGATGCTTACCCGAAGCCCGAAACTCTGATGCCCGATCCCTAGACCCCTGCCGCAGTGAGCTTTTGAACCCGTGGTCCAGGGTTCGGGGTTCACGCGAGTTTTTGAGGGTTGCCGGCATGGGGCTGCACACAAACTTATCAACTGTCGATCCACGGCTTATTTGTTTGGGTATCATAGGCTTTGCTCGTCAGGATCACCGCCATATTTCGGAACTGCGAAGATCTCAGAAACCCTAAACCCCAATACCCTAAACCCTCATACCCTAGACATCTCATGGAGTTGGGAATCCCAGGCGGCCGAGGAGAAGCCGAAGAAGTCGAAGGCACCCGAGGACGCTGCGTGGAGAGATGGGTTTCTCACTAGTAGAGCTAAGTTGTTAGTGCTTAGCGGAGGTTTAAGGGCCTGAAAGTAAAATTGAAGAATTGGAATTTTGTGGGGCTAGGGAGTATTGCTTACACTTGCAGGTGCCTTATGCTTGGGGGTCCTGATGATCAGGATCCTTCGGCAACCCATCCTCTTCCTGAAGACTTCCTGAGTATATCTGGGAGTAGGATCTTTGGGCATATTCTGATGTAGGTATGTAGGAACTATATAGGAATACTGTAAGCTACTACGCTTCTATTGTCCTTGTAGATCTGCCACCCGAGCCCCTGGTTGCTGTTCGAGTCTTGCAGTATGTATACCCGTATAGCACAGCGTAAGCCCACGTAGATTTGTGCATCAGCATTTTTGGATGGCGGGCTTCGAGCAGAAGCAGTAGCAAATAGTAGCAGTGATCAGGAGTCGTCATGGTTTTCTTCGCGGTCGTAGTCGGAGTCGTAGTAGTAGTCGTCATAGCAGCAGCAGCAGCAGCAGCAGCAGCAGCAGCAGCAGCAGTAGCCCTAGTATTGGCAGTAGCACTAGCAGCAGTAGTAGTAGTAGTAGTAGTAGTAGTAGTAGTAGTAGTAGTAGTAGTAGTAGTAGTAGTAGTAGTAGTAGTGGTAGTAGCAGCGGCAGCGGCAGCAGATAGCAGCAGCACAGCTTGGGAGTCATCCGTAAACCTGTACACCCCACTCTGGCCTTGGGTTAGGCGCCGTCCAGCAATCGAGATCCAACAGAGCTTTGGGGGGACCCCCCGACCTGTCCTCTCAGTCAGCGGTAAAAGAAACACAACGAAGCCTTGAGGTTCATGCCTCTGCCTGAAAGGGCCTCGTACGCATGAAGCTGACTTGGCGAGCAGGGTTGCAGGCACCTTGCTTGCGGTGCAAAGTAGATCTCAGTATAGCTACACATGCATTATTCCTTACCAAGTCCCCTGATCCTGTCCAAAGGACCCTGCGACTGCAACGCCCACAGGAGAAACAAGCCTTAGAAGCCTCGCACCCGAAACCCCGATACCCCGAAGCCTCGACACCCTATGACTGCATTACCCTACAAAGCTTCAAAGCTAGCCCTAAAGCCTAAACCCGGCCGAAACCCAAAGCCTTCAACTCCAAATCGCAAGCAGAAAAACCAGATTTCTGGATTGGAGATAGTTCCGCTTTTCTGGCCGCTCAGTTTCAGGAAGAGCCGCCCAAGAAGACTACGAAGGCATGGCATGGATTGCTTGTGTGTGGGGGTTCGGACGATCGTGCAGTATCTGCCGAAAGTTGGAGAATCATTGTCCCCACTGCCCAACAGATGATCATAGAGAACAGCAGCAGGAATGATCCTTCTTTCGAGACTCGTTGCATGAATCCTTGTCAAGCCAAGCACTCCTTGAAAGGTTTACCGCATCAAATCCGCGCCTTAATTTCAAAGCATGTCTGCGTCTAGGCAACAACATGCCCCGAATCTACTGGTTAGGCCCGCTTCGGTCGGTTTGTGAGCCCCCCCAAACCCAGAATCCTCATCACCCTAACTAAAGTTCCTCAAGTCTTACGTAAAGCCACACGAAGCCCCAAAACCCCACAAACACAAAACACCCTGAACATCTAGCGCTGCAAAACTCAAAAACCCATGAAAGCCTCAGCAACCCAGAGTTTATGGGGTCATTCCTCAGAACTAGATCAGAGGCTTTCGTCAGTTTTCGGTTCTTTAGATGAAGTGTCGGTGCATTGTCCGAGAAGGCCACAGAAGGCAAGCCGAAGAAATCCAAAGCACCAGAGGTCGCCGGTGGGGGGAGCGGGAAGGGTTGCTCGGGTTCAGGCCTTTGGGGGGCGGTTTGCAGTTTATGGTGCAGTGTAGGGTTTATGACTTGCAGTTCAGGGTTCTGGAGTTCCGGTTTTAGGGTTGGCGGTGCGCTGCCAGATTCAGTCATGATTGATACTGAGAAGTTCGTAGGTTTACAGCACTCTAGTTAAGTTAATAATCTCACTACAACAACCTGCTTTCTGAGCCACTGCTTTGGCAAAGGGCCGAGCAGTTGCGTTGGCAGATGCTGATTTTGGCACTTGTTTTGGACCATCGGTATTATGGCAAGACAGCAAGAATCATAGGGCTTGCGCATGTCGGGTGTTTGAAAAGCCTGTACAGCTTCACTGGTCTTTCAGGGTGCTTTCTACTGAAGACCTTTAACCCAGAAGCCTAGCATCCGAAGTACCCCACATCCTCTGAGCCCAAACTCTAAGCCTAAAGGCCCAACGCCCCAGATCCATAGCTTGTGCACGCGATGTCGGATTCAGAGCTCCCAGGTCCTTGCGGCTTTTCGGCCTGTCAAGAAGTTGGTTTCCGGGTTTAAAGGTTTGTTGCTATGTCCCCTCCCACCCAGAAGGCGGCAGACGACAAGCCGAAGAAGTCGAAAGCACCCGAGGCATACCTGGGATGCATGCTGCCTTACTTCTCTTTGGGTGTCCGGTGGCCCCAAACTCCACGGTAAGGGCCGGACAGGTGGCAGTCCTCCATAGTCTACCCCATGTCCCGAGATCTTCCAACTAACCTATGAATATGTCTTAGATCATAAGTCCCCTAACATGGTTTATATATAAGTAGTCATAGTGGGGATCCTCTTCGATGTTGAAGTACATTTTTGACGAGACCCTTCGTGACCAGTCGCCGAGCTCTGTCAATGGCTCCCTACAAATCGGGACGCCATTCTGTTCCTGGAGGTTCATGGGTAGTGATAAGTGGGGTTATAAGTCCCCTAACATGGCTTATAAGTATATCTACCATGAACCTCCAAGTTGTCTTAATTCTTTTTAGCGCTTCTGGCGGCATTGTCAACTTAGGGTTTTGGGTTTAGACTCAATCTGGGCCTGAAGAACTAGTAATGGTTTTCCCATATAGTCTCTCTGCGTGATGTCATCACCCAAATCATCAAGGACCCTTCATTATTAGGCAGGCAGGCTTTAGGGTATTGTGGTTCAGGGGACTGTGAGGAAAGGTGCGGACCTAGTCAGTAAGCAGCTTGACAAGTTCGCCCTATTCAGAGCCGTGTTCAGCTAAGCAGCTTCTGGCTCTGCACTCGCTGATGTCTTGAATCGCATTTTCTGTTGTCGATGCCTTGTTTGTCGGAGACCTATTCTCTGGTTCGCTGAACCCAGATTTGATTAGCTTCGCACAACTTCGTGGCTGTGTGTCTCGTGCCTGTGCATTTCGCGCTAATTTGCCAGATTGCATTGCGAACGAACATGTGTGCCTCTGTGTGTGTTCGCAAAAAAGTGAAACGAAGTGAAGGGTATAAACTACGGAAGAGGGCTTACAAGGCCAAACGTCCGGGAAGATTCTTGCATTAGAGTTCACCTTTGGTTCTGAGGAAGGGGCATGTTCTACTCCACGAAGTCTCTCACAAGGAGCAGGATCCGAAGCTCCTCAACCAGCGGGTTATATGTAGTCCTGCTGAACAAGTCGCCTGATCCTTCTCGCATTATGATCGCCCTGTTAAGCCCTATTCCTATCGCTTGCAAGGCCCCTTTCCTTCATTCAGAGTTCATGAAGACATAGGACCATCTGCTTTGGGCCAGGAAGTGCCGAAGAAAGCGAGCAAGGCTGGCAAGTTCGGGGTTTGAGAGCTGTCTACATGCGAGACGCCCATCCCAAGCCTCAACCCTAAGCCGAATCCCGAATCCTAGATCCTAAACTCTTCACGAACCTCCAACTCTCGCCGAAGGTGGCAGATGAAGCGAAGAAGCCCGAGAAGGAGAAGGAAAAGGCTTGCCGGCGCCAGAGATAACTTCAGGGTCCGGAGCCTGAAGAGTTTGAAATATGACCCCTTAGAAAACCCCAGAAAGCTCTACAGGCTTTGGCACTTAGCGCCTTTAAGGATTTGGGCTTCGGGTTTAATCGGGTCTAGGGTTTTGGGTTGGGCAGAGATGGTACGATGCCGACAGGATGACTGGTTAAGAACTGCCATGAGCCCCGACGCTTACCTTGCAGTGTGTTTCTTCATGGTTCTCTCTTTCATGCACACAGTGTATGTACGTATACGTCAATCCAGGAAACCATCCATCCATTCATCCACCCATCCATGCATGAGTACATCCAAACATAGTTAATTACATAAATACATACAGACTTGTATATACAATCATGCATGTGTCAATGCATACATGCCGCTGTCCAGGAGAGTTATATGTAAATATATATTTATATATGTATATATATATATATATATGTATATATATATATATATGTATATATTTGTATGTATATAGATGTATATATATGTATATATATATATATATATGGTACCCCCCCCCCCCCCGGTACCCAGGTTGTGTCCTGTTCAAGCCAGACACCCTGTCCCTAATATTTGTTTGTGTTCCTTGGTCATTGCGTCTCTGGGAAAGCACGTTTTCGTTTACTGTGGCTCCCTGGGCTTCTAAGTGTAGCGTCTACTGTAGTGTTGCTCCCGAGCTTTCTCCAAATCGATGGAACGTGCTGGAAATGTTGGAAAAACCAACAATTTCCATGATCTGTCTGTGGGGAATCATGGAAATTGTTGGTTTTACCAACATTTCCAACAATTTCCATGATTCCCGAAACTATGGCGCGGGCTCCCGAGGTTTTTCCAAATTCATGGAAATTGTTGGAAATGTTGGTAAAACCAACAATTTCCATGATTTCTCTGAGGGGAATCATGGAAATTGTTGGTTTTACCAACATTTCCAACAATTTCCATGATTCCCGAAACTATGGCGCGGGCTCCCGAGGTTTTTCCAAATTCATGGAAATTGTTGGAAATGTTGGTAAAACCAACAATTTCCATGATTTCTCTGAGGGGAATCATGGAAATTGTTGGTTTTACCAACATTTCCAACAATTTCCATGATTCCCGAAACTATGGCGCGGGCTCCCGAGGTTTTTCCAAATTCATGGAAATTGTTGGAAATGTTGGTAAAACCAACAATTTCCATGATTTCTCTGAGGGGAATCATGGAAATTGTTGGTTTTACCAACATTTCCAACAATTTCCATGATTCCCGAAACTATGGCTCGGGCTCCCGAGGTTTTTCCAAATTCATGGAAATTGTTGGAAATGTTGGTAAAACCAACAATTTCCATGATTTCTCTGAGGGGAATCATGGAAAGTGCTGGTTTTACCAACAACTTCCATTATTCCCGAAACTGCGGCTCCGGCTCCCGAAGTTTCTCCCGATCCATGGGAATGGTTGAACATGCCAACATTGTCCACAGTACATATTTCAATACGTTGTTACCGAAAGTTGCGATTGAGCAGATCTTACGTACTCGTGCGAGGCGTTTTGCAGACAAGCCGGTAAGGTATTTGCATCCTTGATTAAGCTCACTAGTTGGTCCAACACGAAGCTAGGTAATTCATAGTCTCCGCTTGAAGACACTACTGTGGGAACACCAGTTCATGGGTTTTCTGTTTATCACATACAAGGCTGTACTCCATGTCTAAGATTCAAAAATTTATTATAGGAAAGCTATTGCTGCACGACCAAGCTTAGCTGGCTTATCACCCACTTCTTAAGATAAATGTAGAAGGATCTACTTATGTTGCTTGGTGTTTGCATGGGGGTCTTTGGTCGTTGTGGTTGTGTATTCTTGTTTGGTGTGGCACTGGTGGTTAAAACAAACAAAGAGCCCGTAGCCAAAAGACTACCATGTGCACCAGAATTCTGACATACATCGTTGTCAACTTGTCACCATTTGGTAGGTGCAGACTTTCGAAAACGATTCTGCGACCAATAAAATGGATATTACCTGTATGATGCACGCACTTTTGATGAACTGCACTCGGATTAAACATGTCGAAGTCACCTGACGTGAAAAGACTATAGTCGAACTAATTAACTACAACATACAACCTAGCGTGTAACACGCAGCCCCGGCGTGTTGGATCATGTTTGATTTGGAAGACTAACAACCCACTCTCAGCAGGTAAAAAGCAAGCCAATGTGTGACTTGGTTAGCCATCATCCTACCAAGAAGTGTTTTGAAGCACAAGTGTACGTATTCACGCGGTGCTCTGTGGTAGGTTTATACTCAACTTAGCAGAATGTATAAAACACAGGACTCAGCAGGTACTTCATTGACTTTATAATAATTGGCTACTATTAAGCAAGGTTCCCGAACAATATACGAAGCAGTCTGAATGAACAATCAGAACAGTAATTGACACAGTAACATTCGATGCAGAAATTAAACAAGCCGGGTGGTACATGGTCCTAAATGGCCTGGTATTGGTGAAGTATGATAACCACTGTAACAGGAATAATGGCAGTTTACAAGATGTGATAACAACACTGTGAGAGGTAATATTAAAACCACAGTTGACATTTTGAGCTCGATATAGAAGAACAGAACATGTAGCAGTTTCATGACTGGGAAAAGAAACGGAGATCGGATTCCTAAGGCAATGGAGACTATACTTGCAGTAACAATTGCGAAGCCTACACACACCGTCGTGAAACACGATTTCATACTTTTGTCGCTATTGACTGCTAATTTGACAGACACGCATGAATCATTGTACAGTGCTGGAGACTAAAGGCTTTGACAAGTATACTGACACTATATGACATTGCTTTCGGCTTATTCCATATATGGTTGTATGAACCAATGAACACAGCAATTCATGTGAGAGACTGCAACACCCACCACAGCAATGACATTGTTGCGTGTGTAAAAAACCATAACGACAGCCAATTAAACATAGCCACTATCCACCTTGATCCGAAATCTGCGTGCATGGCCTTGGGGATGCTATAGTATCACCTCTATGCCGTGCAAAGCTCTTTCTCTTACTGGGTTTCAGTAGGCCTGCTTCGCCATACCCTGCAATTTGTCACACTCGCTCACTACTAGTACTATATGTCGGCTTATCGCGAGCATGCGCGTGCACTTGCAGCCTTTTCTGTCCGACTTCCTTCGTGCTATCAGCACAAAGACGAAAACCTGGGTACCTGAGGGGGGGGGGTAGCATATATATATATATATATGTATATATATATATATATATGTATATATGTATATATATATATACACATATGTATATATATATATATATATGTATATACACATGTACATATATGACTATAAATGAACAAATATGTCTATATGTATATATATATATATGTGTATATATGTATATATGTAGAGGGACATACACAAAATCCTTTCTTTTCAGTCATGTTGTCTTTGTCCTCGTATTTGTTGTTTGTACACTCATGAATGTAGATACAAGTATCCTTGCACAAACAAACACGCCCACGCTCCAGTGCATTGATGCCATGCAGGCTGTCGGAAGCCCTCCACCCCGAATCTTGCACACGTTTAGAGAAGCCGAACTACGGCACCATCGCAGGTGGCTGAGACGAAGAAGACGAGCAAGGTGGACTTTTGCCAAAGCTTTTTCGAACTTGGGAACCTAAGAAGCAAGGACGTTTCGAGTAACGTAGGGGTATTCTGACTCGGAGCTTCCGACCGTCAAGCTCTTTCAGCACCAATCCGGTTTGGGGCTCTAGGTTCGTGGATTCAGGTTTGGGGTTCAACCCTTCAGGTGGCCTTTCCGGCCACATTCCAAGGGAGATGATGACGCCATAGCCGTGGAATCCGTGGGGCCAAAGCCAACCTCCAAAACCTCCAGATCTTAGCCTTCAGCCTTAACGAAGCCTAGCATCCTGAATCCTGATCTCCCCAAGATCCCTGCGCCAAGGTGGTAGTCAAATACTGCTTTGGATCTGCTCAGGTAGTTCGGCGCAGCATTCTGTGAACCACAAGAGTATAAGTGCGAGATAAGAGCAAGGATTTATTCAACCAATGTCTAGGAACACCATGCCCCCGAAACCTTAAAGCTATGGCTAGGGTCTTGAGGCTGTGCAACAAGCCCTGAAGCACAGATTCGAGGGTTCTGTTCCGGGTTTAGGATCAATTTCAGCTACAATCTGCCCGGTGAAGGCCGCTGGGGAGACCAAGAAGACCACCAAGGCCTGGGAATGCCGTGGAAGCCAAGCTTATCCGCAGATGTATTTACGCTTTGGAGTTCCGGGTTCAGGGTGTCGGAGTTGGGATTTTAGGTTGGGGCAAGTGCCTTCTGTCCTGTGTGCTTCCATTTTGCTCACTGCCTCGCTCTCGCTCTCGCTCTCTCTCTCTCTCTCTCTCTCTCTCTCTCTCTCTCTGCCTCCAATTCTCTGCCCTTTGAGACGCCATGAAAGAAACAAAAATACCGGCCAACACGCTGCATGAGCTCCGTTTGGCTCTTGTGCAGTGCACAGGCCCCTGCGAGCAAGGAGTCCAAGAAGAGGGACGCTCGTCTACAGTGGTATTTTGATAGGGGGGTTAGGGGATCTTCGAGTTTAGGGTTTAGAGGGTTTTTGAAAAACAGTGTTTTATGAAACACTACAAGCCCAGTGCCAGTTAGGGTATCTTCGAGTTTAGGGTTTAGAGGTCTCTCCAAGGTTGGGGGTGTCCGTCCTGGTGCCCCGACGCTGGACCCCAAGCCGAACCACGAGATTTGCACGAGTTTGGGGCATAAAGTGAGAAAGGGCTGGTGCCAGCAGTTTTGGTGCCGACTTTGTCTAAGAGATCAATATATGATGGGTCGGAATTTCTCTCAAAGTATTGCAGTCCCTAGATGCGTATTCTACATACCCAGGCCCTATTTTGGCTATCACGTCCTCTAAATTGTTTGCTAAGCCAACTCTGGGGTGTGCTGTTTTCGAGGTCTGATGTTTTGGTTTCCTGCCTCGTGTATATGTACATGCAAACACAAACGTGTATATGTGAGTACGTGGGTGTGCATGTAGGTTTTTTTTTACAGATCGGTAGATAGATAGCGATAGTTAGATGTGTAAATATGTGGACTGATACACGTAAGGTCACACACAATGTCAAACTTGGACAAGCAAAAGCTTGATTGTTTTTGAGGGCTCACGAGTTTATGGGCTTGCTTGTATCCCCCAAAAGGAAGGCGCAACGCACACGATACGATGTTCCTCAGCAGGCCTATATGTTCGAGGTGATGACAACCCGATCTCAGTCATCCCTGCCGCATAAACACAAGTGAGCTGGTCCTCCTAAGTGTCGTTCGAAGGATTGCTCACATTGCCTGCAGATGCTAAAATCCACCCGGATGTCCTCCTTAGGAGCACGTGGTTGATGGTCATCTGTGCCACCACCCGGGGCACCCAGCGAACGCATATGAGCCTTGCGTTAGAGCTTCTCCAATTCCTGGCCCCAAGACACCTACTTTTTGAGCGATCCTGAAGATGGCTTCATTCAGCAACAGGTCTTGAACAGGTAGCGACGTTGTTTGGGGTTCAGGTCTGATTGTGTAAGGGTGGCTTTTCTGGGTTCCTTTACAACTTTCCCTGTTCGAGGAGGCACCCGCAGAGGAGCCTCCGAAGGCGAGACGAAGGGTTCTTGGGAACTTTTGGATACCCCCATTAAAAGCTCGGTCTGGAGAGGGCTTTCGAGATTGAGAATGTGAGATTTCATCTTTTGGCGAGGTCTGGGTGTTTAGAGTTCAGGCTTCTAGGCCACTGTGGTCGGGGTTTTTCAGATAACTGCAGCGGACTAGCACTTTTGATGGCGAGTCAGGCTTTTTTTTCTCTGCGCGAAGGGCAAGAATCTATATAGATTAGATGGACTTGCAACTACTGTTCTGTCCAGCATGACGATGTCTCGTGTTCATTGTCCCTGTTGAGTTCTCGTTCTTCGAAGTATGACAGTTAAACTAGAACCCTTAACCTTGAAACCCTGAAATCCCTGAATCCCCGAACCCCCCTAAAATCTTTCAACCCTATAAGAGGGTTTAAAGGGAGCCTTGAACAGAGGCCGCCGAGGAAGAGAAGCCAAAGAAGAAAAAGAAGCCTGCGGAGGCGCCTGCGTTTAGGGGGGGTTTTCTGGGTTGTGGTTTTAGGGCTTCAGGTTTTGGGTTTAGGGTTGAGTTGAGGGTCAGGGTTGAGGAGTTTAGGAATTTAGGGTTGAGGTTTGGGTCCTGCACCGGCCCAGTAACAGTTCCAAAATAGGGTTTGTACCAAGCACACAGGCCACGAGCACCAGGACACTTGGTTCAGGCAGGCTTTGCATAGGGACCTTTGACACACAAGCCGGCACATCCTCCAAACCCAGGCAATAGAGGTACTTAGGGAGTCAAGCAATTATCAGCAGCACTATCACCTTATCATCCCTAGCAACAGCGTAGTAGAACCCCCAAAGCCCAAAACGCGATGCTAAAAACGAAGGCCCCTCGAATACCTAAGTATCATCAGGTCAGGGTTGGAGGCAGGGCTTCGAACCTACAGGATTTTGGGGGTTGGAGATATATAATAAAAAAGCCACAAACCCTATTACCAGACTCTTGCGGCTGCAGGGTTTACGGTGTACAGCTTTCGGGCGTTGTGAGCTTTGCTGGAGGCTGTAGAAGCTCTAGGTTCAGTGATTCAGGGTATTGTGGGGTGAGGCCGAGCAGCATTACATACCTGCCACAGTCATCACTCTCCGGCGTCAGTCAGGGAAGTCACACACGTGCGACAGTTGGGACGTTGGATGCCTTCGTGTTGGAGTTCTGGTCCCCTGCGCCATTCAGAAGCAATCAACCCGCTATCTTGGCAGAGACCCATCAGGGGCAGACTTGAGGGAAGAATCTTAGATGCAAGATAAATTTGGGGCCTGAGTAGCTATGCCAAATACTATTCCATAAGGGCTACTCAATATGAGCTGATCCCAACCGTATTCTACTTATTAAGGCCGTAGTTGAACTGGCACCCGATGCAGGCCAAGAAGAAGAAAGAGGACGGAAGGGACGGCTCTCTGTGTTCGACACACGGGATCTCCGGCATGAAGCTGCAGGGGGTCATATGGTAATTGTAAATGATTTGCAGAGGGCTCTGAGAAGTACACAGCTCCTGCAGCCCTACACCACTAGGTTCAGTGTTGTAGGGCTTGGGGTTTGAACCCTACGACGTGTTAAACCCTAAACCCTCCTTAACCTCCCCAAAGCCCCAAACCGCTTCTTCTCCCACTCCTTGGGCCCTATCCGAAGCTCAGGACCCCCCTCAAATGGCACTGTAATAGAGCCCTTATGGTCCCAATAGTGTGTATTTAGGGTATATTAGAGGGTAGTTGGGAGTCACAGTAAACCCAATGTTATATAAGACCAAAACAAAAACCCTCGGGCACGAGAAGATCTCAAACCTTGCATCTTCTAAAGGTTTAGGGTTTCCCAGAATCCTGAGCTGCAGCCCGTTGTAGAGCCTACACCATTAGATATAATATAAGATGTTCAGGGCGCTTGGTCAGTAATTACGGCTATATTTAAGTCAGATATATTGCCGATTGCGGTTACATCATAGTAACCTGTTTGCTGAGCTCCTCCAAGCAAGCCCAACATTCCCAAAGCAAAAGCCACACCTCAAAGGAACCCACAAAGGAACCCCTCATCCTACTTACTACTTAAATTCCCTGCTCCCTGCAGCGCATTATGTACATCTCGAAGAAAGCCCTTCGCAGGAGGGTCGATCCGATGGCAACTTCGCTTGCAACGATCGACTGGGAATTTCTTGTTTGGGGAATTTCTAATTTGCCGCAGCGGTATTTTACGCATCTTCATGGGCATGAAAATGCGTACGCATTGATGCCTGAATGTTGTATGTAATGTACCTAGGTATGTGTGCAACAGCCTTGAACTCTCGGAACTCGCGAGGTACGCACTTGTGACAGAGGTGTCATTCGCGGACTCGGGCTTCTTTAGAGCTTCATCGGCGTTTGTGGCTTCCTGAGGGTTCTACAACATCGTGCTCGGCTGTGCTAAGGGTCTGAGTGTTTGGGGTTCGGGTCCAGAGTTCAGCGTTCAGTATTTGGCTTGCCCGTGCTGGTGCGTCAGAAGCTTCAAAGCAGCAACCTGCTTGTTCCGCTTAAGGTGCCTCTCGACATGGGTATTCAACAGCCTTTGGCCTTCGTGTTGGGTAGTGCTATTTCGGGACTTGGGTTGGCATGAAACGGTAAACCCGTGAGCAGCAGCCTTAAATGTGTGTGACTCAGTAGGTTTGATCAGACCTCTTTCCTGCAAGGCCTGTATCTTTTTAACCGGCTGCTGGACTCCTGAATGCTCGCTTGCCCCATAGCTTGCCCCGCTCCCTCTTTGAACCATACTAGTTACTAGTTTACTTTGGGGAGTCTCCAGTCATCCAACCTTTCCCGGCCACTCAGCCCAAGCCTTGAAGCCCCACTGCCTAAACCCCAAAGCAAACCCGAAGAGTTAATCTTCGCCTTCAAGGTCCAGCGGACAAGGGATCGAAGCGGAAAGAATGAGAAGAAAAGCCCGGATGTGTGCTTGGGGCAGCGTTGGCAGATCAGGTTTTCTGGCTCGGAGTAGTAGTGGCAGTGGGATGGCAGTGGCCGTAGTAGTGGTAGTCTTCACACTAGTCGTCGCCCATCATCTTCGTACAACGTGTTGTGGTACATGCCGCGTAGTACCTACTACCAACCACCCGGCACTTAGCCTATAATGCCTAGCAGGGTACCGCGTACCTAGTACGCAGTATTCGTAGCTACCTCGACCACTACTACTACTACCACTACTACTACTGCTGCTAATTTACTACTACTACTCCTCCTCCTCCTGCTGCTGCTGCTGCTGCTACTACTACTACTACTACTACTTCTACTACTACCACTACTGCTACTACGACAACGACTACTGCTACCACTGCTACCTTTGGGTAGAGCCTTAGAGCCACGAAGTACTGTCGTTGCAGAACCAGGATCATGTAAACCCCCAAACCATAAACCTTGACATGTAACCGGAGTGTTCTAAACCTTGGAAACCATGTCTTATGCCCTGTACGCCTTGTTTTTGCATGTTTTTTGTAGCTTTAAGTTTAGTCAGGCTTAGGGTCTATGCTTCATGAAAGTCATGGTCCTTCTCTGTGGGCCTGGGTTGCGCAGAGATGAGACTGACAGACTCCCGTATGCGAATTTCAGAAACTGAGTGCAGCCCTTCAATTTAGGGTTTAGTGTTTAGGGTTTCTTCAATACCAACCTCTTGATTGTGACAAGGAGCCCCCTGGTTTGAAGCATCCTCCCGTGGCTGCCTTGCACTCCATGGGAAAGGGGCTGGCTCAGGAGCGCGTGTCCCATCTTCCAACCTGAAGCCTTTGGAAAACTCCAGAGAGCCCTAGGCCCCCTGGAAATTGAGGCATGTACCTCAAGTCATATTCAGGATACGCAAAGAGTATTCCTCACTTAAGGGGTACTAGGCACACGTGACAGAAAGCGCTCAAGAGGTAAGCCCCACACTCCCAAAGCCTCAGCCTAGGGTATTTGGATTTGGGTCACCTTAATGCACCCTTGAACCGCCAGCCTTACACCCTAAGAGCGAAAGTCCGCCGATCCGACAAATCCGGTATAAAACCCTACGAAAACCGCCAGAAGACTTCAATAAATCCTGCGCGAAAGCCGTGCAAATCCTTAGATCCCTTCATAAACCCTATCAGAACCCTATCAGAACCCTAAGCCCTCTTAAACCCTTGCAAAACCCTGAAGAACCCTAAACCCTAAACTCCTTATGCAAGCCTACAAGAACCCCGGATTTTCTTGTGTGGACCCTTTGTTGGCCTGGACATGGAGCAATCGGAGGAGGCTCCGGAGGAGATGCAGGCAGGGCAGCTGGGGTATAGGGGTTTCCTTTTAGGGTTCTTGGAAGGTGTTCGGCGTTTCCGGCGTTTTTGCTTCGGTGGGGTTTGGGTAGTTTAGTGTAAACGGCTTAAGGGTTGAGGTCTTGGGAAGCGAGGCGTCTAGGGCCAAAGTTTTAAGGGGTTGTGCTGTTAGGGTTTAGGCTATAGGGACTACGTGGATTAGCGTGACTTCACGGCTGCCTGAAGATGAGTCTGTCATCCTGCGCCAACAAGCTTGGGATGACCCTCTTTTGAGCTACCATGGTTTGGCGAAGTACTCGGTGCAACTGCTGGAGCCAATGCATTCCACACATGTCCGTACTGTAGTTTCATTGCAGACCTGAAGGGATTGAAACTGCCAAGCTGCTTCCTGTAGAGCTCAGGGAGTTTTGCTTTGCGAAAACACCTACATCAGCGCATCCCCGTACATGCCGACAGGCATCCTTGAGGGCTTTGTGCAGTGAGCACAGGTTTGGAGCCGTTTAGAATTTGGGGATCAAGGCTGGGAATTCAGCCCTGCAGCCCCCGGATCCTTTTGCCATGGACTGCTTCTACAAAATACCTCGAACCCCACAGGCCCATGTAATGACCCCAGTCCTGAGAACGTACCCTTATAGCATACAACGGCCGATGGGTATGTTCTACCTGTAGTCTACATCGTAGTGCCTTTTCGGGCTACCTCATAGGATCTTCCATATGAAGTTGTGCTTAGACCAACAAAGAAAGTATCCCGGAGAGTAAAGGTACATAGGTTCTTATGGTTCGACCTGGGGCCTCAGGGTCTTGCAGGTCTGAAGGACAACTTCAACACCTCTCTGTCCGAGACTCCAACCCTTCAAGCCCCGAAACCACAAAAGGAGCCCCTTAATTACAAAGGTCCTATTGCTAGGGCCAAGGCCGTGTAAAGCTGAGCTTTAAAACCCTAAGCAACCTCAAACCCTAAACCTCATGACTTGACTCTCTGAACCTCCTAAGCCCTTAACACCTGAAACCAAACTCTGAACCCCCGAATCCTCCATCCCTACGTCCTCATCCTCAAGACTTTTGAATCCCGTAAACCCCCTAAGCCCTAACAGCCCAAGCCCTAAACCTGAAATCCCCAAGCCTCAAATTTTGAACTCGTGACTGTCGCAAGGCTCCACAGGAAAATGCCCCGGCGGAAGAGGAGCCGACTGACACGAGGTCGGCCTCTCGGAGGGTCCGCTTTTTCCTCATTGAGAAACGTACTACTAGCTACTAACAGCTACGAGTTTTCCAGAAGCAGACTTGTCGGTTGCATATGCATTCGGGCTTTTCTGGGCGAGAGGTGTCTTCGGCAGGGCTTCTTAAAGGTTTGGGGGTTTTGGCTTCGGCCGAGTCTTTAAAGAAAGGCTTCCTTAAGGTTCAGGAGGGCGGGGGCTTTGGGACTGTAGGAGTTCTCAAGTTGACGATGAGAGGGTTTACGTTTGGGGTTTAGGTCTAGGGTTTAGGGTTTAGGGTTTGGAGTTTTTAAAGTTCAGGGTTTAAAGGGTTTCGGGTTTTTCCGGGGACACGGCTTCGGGGCTTTCGAGGGGCTAGAAGTGCGCCCTGTTAGGACTTTGGGTTCAGGGGTTCAGGTCAGGATTTGGTCTTAAGGGCTCGGGGTATTGCAGACCGACAAACCCAAATCCTCGTTACTCAATTCCTGGGCAACTTGGATGTTGGCGTAAGTCCCGTCGGGATGCATAGGACATTTGGAATTTAGGATTGGGGCGGGGGGCATGGATTGCGTTCGTTGCAGGGAGATTTTGGCATGCATTGGGCCGTTGGGGTCCGTGATATAGTGGTTCGAGGTGTGGGGCTTGTGGCTTCCAGCACGAATCTTTTGTGCTTTCGCTCGCGGGGACGTGAAGGGCAGACAGCGTTCTCAGGGCCGATGCCAGGAGTCAAGACTTCCCTCCCTGGCTCTTAAAGGTGGTGCCGCATATCCAAAACACTTGTCTGCAGACTGTCCCATGTGGTGTGGTCTGACATCTTTCGAGTCTTGGAAGAGTCGGGCGAAGATTCAACTGCACACTCGCTGCAGCGCAAGTATTTTACAACTTCTGTTGACCGCGGCGAGCAGCTTTATGTGGGATACGCCTTGGAGGTCAGCGCCAGACAGAATTATATGCCAGGCACAGATTGCGGGTCTGCCCCGCAAGAGAGCTGGCACGGCAATCAGCTGAAGCCCACTGGGCCCAACTTTGCTGCTGTCCGAACCCGTATCTTGAACGACACGACCCACAAGGAAACGTCTGGATCTTTTTGTTCCTGTATCCTTTCTCAACAGTAGACTACACAGTCAAGCACCCCTACACCCTATGAAGCCCTGAGCCCCTAAAGCACCTAAGCAGCCGAAGCCCCAAACCTCATCGTCACAGTGCCGAAGTGCCCCGAAGTGCCCCGAAGCTGCTCAGGGAGGCTCCGCCTAAGTCGGAGTCCGTGACGACTCGGGTAGCACCTGGTCTGCAGACAGAGGAGGGTGAGGCCTTAGGGCTTAGGGTTGAATAGGGATTGGGAGCTTTTAGAATTGGGTTTGTAGGATTTAGGGTTTAGGGATTAGGGGACCCGCTGGTTTCAAGCGAACTTTGGAACAGAACTTCTCTGTTCGGGTAGTCCTGCTCACGCATGCGAATCTTGCTTGTTTGATTGTGCGGGATACTTCGTGCTTTGCTTATCTTCTCGGAGGTTACCAAGAAATCAGCATCCTTCAATGCTGAAGCTTTGATATGCCAAGGCACTCAGCCGGTTTTCATCAAGCTAAAGCACATGCACCAAGACGTGCTGATCCAAACCTCTATGCTCCAAGCCGGACCCCGGCGGAGAGAAAAAGACAAGATCCACTCCAACCCAGCGACCCCAGCCCAGATGCAGCGGCGCCCGTCACAGCAGCGTTCTCAGGAGATTGGATGTGACCTTTGCAGCATCGCCATCATCGTCGTCTTCATCTTCCTCGGCATCAGCATCATCATGTTCGTCATCGTCTCAGTCTTGTCGCCGTCGTCAGCCTCATCTCTCGTTACCGTTTTCTACACGTCATGCAGTGCCATCGAGCTTTTAGCTTGTTTAGGCGTTTCAGGCTGCAGGGGTTTAGGATTTAAGGGTTTCAGGGTGTCAAGGATTAAGGGTTTAAGGGTATATACGTATGCATATAGACGGGACGATTGGGGGGATTACCGACTGCACTCTTGCGTCGCCTCAGGCCACTCGTCAACAACAGGCTTGACACGAGCGCCACCCGTGACAGTGTTTCGCTGAGATCTGCCTTTGGAGCCAATACCTAACAGGGGCCTGAATGATTGCCAATGTTTTTCCTAAGGGTTCCTTGATTTCACTATAGTATAATATACCCGCCAAACCCTGAACTAACCATGAAAGTTACTTTTCCTGAAGCACCAAATCAGCCTCGTCGTTCCTGAAACCCAGCAACTTACCACTGCATAGCCAATTGGCTCTTTGTGTCGTCTGCCGATGCACTTGGCTTTGAATGAGCAGGCATAGAGAGGTTTCGGTACTGTTTCAATGTGCTTTCTGGTGATTGGCATTGTAGTCCAGAGAAGCTCCAGGAAGAGCTCGGAGTCAAAGCATCCCATGCCAGGGGATGGTTTTGATGAATACCTCGTTAAGCCGTCGGCTTGCAATATGTGCACCACTACTTTCAATTTTCGCAGCAGTCGAGAGGGGCAGACCTTCGTAATTCCGCGGCTTGCAGTTACACGACATTGGCCTGAACGATCTTGAAAGTCTGTACAAGAAGTGCAACCGCGAGATTAAGTGTTCTCATGATCTATACCGTTACACCCCAAACCCTTTTAACGCGACTGGGATCAGCGTGCAGGCGTGGCACTCTGGCTTCACAATACGACGACCTTGACTGGGAGAAGGCTATCCCCGACCATGGGCCCGGGCTTAGGGTTAAGGTTATTTGCAGACTAGAAAGGATTTCTGGTGAAGTAGGGTTTAGGGATGTTTAGGGTTTAGGGATCAAATGAGATTACTGAAATATGGTAGGATCCGAGTACTAAGGCTCTTAAACACAAGAAAGGTCGTCTATCAGTTAGAGGCCTGCATTATTGGTTACTGGGCCTGTGAGGGGTTTGAGCGTCGTCGAAGCAATTAGAAGTCAGAACATCGTTGTGAACCCTTAGGGACAGTATCACTATCTGTTTACCGAAGGAACGCAAGTGTGAATCAGATCGAACTCTCTACCATCTCAGGATTTTGGGACTCGGCCCTTACACTCCACACATCAAGCCCTAAATCCTAACCCTACACTCTAAAACTCAACCCTACACAGTCTAGAGTGTAGACCTCAAACCCTGAACTTGAACATTGTGTTCGTCCTGCCGAGCCTCCTCGTAGCCAGTATGGCCCATGCCCCACCCACAAAGCAGCACCAGCAGATGGGACTGCGCTAGTCTACGCTCGAGAAGCAAAAGGCCCGAATCCAAACTCTCCAGAAATTCTGCCGCCTAAGACCGCTAGAAGACTTACCACGTGACGGAAACGCGGAACCCGAAACTCCTATCCTAGTGCATAGGCTTCGTTCAAAACACCAAAGAAGCAATTTCTCCTAGCCACCTACTTCCCTACAAGAACCCTGTGACCCCGAGCCCTAAACCCCCCAAGCCCTAAACTCTACGGCACCAAGAGAACCGCCTAAACCCCAACCCCCAAAAAACCCTAAACCGCCGCCACTGCAGGCCTACGTCGCCCCAACGGCTCCGTCGGCAGCACCCGGTCAGGTCGCCTCGCAGCTCGGAGCTCAGAATCTCCCAAAGCTTTGTGGATTTGTTAAAGAGTGGAAGCTCAGGAGTTCAGTCGCAAGCATCCCAAGGTTTTTTTGGGATTTGTTAAAGAGGTTGAGGTCTGCATATCTATAGACTACAGAGTCCTTTGAGGGTTCTTCGAAGGTTTTATCTTGGGTTTATGTAGAGTTGGGGATTCAGAAGGAGTTCTCGAGCTTTTCTGGAAGAGGCGCCTATGCATTGACCGTTTGTTCAGCTACTTCGCGCTTACTTAGGGTCGTAGCTGAGCGGGTTGAGTATTGCAGGATTTCTGCCGCACGTCACTGGAAGGTCCTGTTCTCGTTGTGGTTGGCTTGGGGCTGTTTGGGCTTCGTAACGGTCCTTGGCTCCTACCTTAACCTGTAGTTACTCAAATGTACAGCAGCAAGCACAGTGTCACCGCACAACAAATTCCCGGGAGCGAGAACAACGGCAGCAGCAGCAACAACAACAACAACAATTACAAATGCAGCTGCAACTACAACTGCAGCACAGGCAACCGCAAACATCAGCAAGAGCAGCAGCAACGGCAACAGAACAGCCTGCAACAGCAACCACAACCGAAGCTTCCCCTAAGAAAGCGGGGTCTCCAGCCGTTTCTTTGTGTAATCCTCAAGGTCGTCATGAAGCCCGCCCCAACCCTCAACCTCCAACTCCCTCTAACCTGCACCCTGAGCCTGCAACCCCAAAATCCGCGACAGCCGCCAACTCTTAGGCCGTCTACCATAACAGCTGAGGCCGCGCTCCTTGCGATTTCAGGTTTGGAGATTCTTAGATCGAATCTTCTGCAGGCGGTTCTCGACATTCGGGGTTCAGGGTTTGGCTTGTGCTACTACTTACCCCTGTAGTGCGATATTGTATTTTATGCTACCTAAGCCCTATCCGCTCTAGCGGGACTGCGAGAATAGAGCCCTCACTATACTAAGGGGTATGACCTGTGGCAGAGGCATCTGTTGATGCGACTCTTTGCGCTCCTAGCAACGCCGAGCTCTAGACTTTGCCTCGCTAAGCCAATCAGTTGTTTCGGGTGGCAAGCAGAAGCTTGAAGAATGAGGCGATTCGGGCTCCGGGGATATCCCAGAACCCTAAACTCCTAAAAACCGAATAAGGAACATCCGTGAATCCTGAACCCTCACCCCTGAAAACCTTAACCCTCACTTTTAAGCGTTGTTGCCTTAACCTTAGGGACCTCAAGGAGAGAAACACTAGGAGCCAGAAATCTTAGAGTTGACCAGGAACCTCGGGATGGTCTTGGGATGTCGCTGCGTAGCCGCTACAGCTCCAGGGTTTAGGGTAAAGGATTTCTGGGGTTCAATTACAGGGGTTTAGGGTATAAGGTCAATTAGTTTAGTGCTTATAGGGTTTTGTTTAGGCAATTCGTGTTTGTAGGGTTCAGGGTCTGGGTTGGCGTCCAAGTAGGCTTGAGGTTGTATGGTTTGGGGATGCACGGTGAACTCATATCCCGGCACTGGGTTTCGACCGACAAGATCTCAGTGATCCCATAGCTAGTTAAACTCGCAGGGGTCTTTCTAGACTCAAGCCGGAATCGTCGGTTTTGACTGCTGTAATCAGGTTTTACGGTTTGGCACTTTGGGTTCTAATATAGGGGGCAGAATCAGCAACTGGCAATAATAACTCAATAATATCGCCCTACATTCTCTTCTAGTAGCCCCTATAGCATCAGCACTACAGTCGACAGTACCTATGCCGAATCATCCGGGCCTCCTGAAGTCTCAACCCTTAAAGGTGAAATCACGACAGGATCTCTACACCCAAAAACCAGGCCGAAGCCTGAAATAATCAGGGTTCATTATATTGTAGTTAGATGATCGCAATACTTCGAAACCCTGTTCCAAGTATTAGGAGCCTTCATAGCCTCGTCGTCCAGGACGTTGGTCAGCAGCTGCCTCTGGGTTCAGGTGAGACCCCGGTGGGGTTCTGTTGCAAACTAGCTCTTGGGTCTGGGCTTCAGGGCTGAGGTATTAGGGTTCTTAGGTTTGGGCTTCAGGGCTCAAGGTTCTTGTGTTTAGGCTTTAAGTCCTGGGATGCTGCTTGCAAAATCAAGGATTCAGGCGTTGAAGGGCGATCTTCTCAGATCCCAAAGGCCCTACCTAGCAGGGCCTTCGTGGTTGTCAGCAGCACATAGACCCCTAGCTTTCTCGATTAGTCGGCTTCCTAGGTTTAGGCTCTAGGTTGGGCAATAGAGGCCCGCAGATGCGCCTTGTCCGTATGCTTATCGTTTTGGGTTCCTCCAACAGCAGAAAATGCTTACCCCGGAGACAGGCTGCAGGATTTGGGGACTCATGCACATGACTCCCTTCCAAGGTGCATGTAGCTTGCTGAATGTAGAGGGCCCTCTGAACATAAATCCCATGAGCTCAGAATCCAAAAGCCCCATATGCGACAAGCCAGAGATTTTATTGATTTTTACTGATTTTATCCAGGGAAGCCTTCCATGTTTAGGTACTGCGGTCATCAGCAGTGGGAGGATCGTGTGTCGTAAGCCCAACTGGCAGCCATTGGCCCAAAGCGGCCATCAGGAGATGCGCTCCGCTCGCTTAAAGCGGCGGCAGTAGGAGAATTTAATGACTCAAGGCCTACCCACCTTCTAACCTACCATTAAGCGGTCGGGAAAAGACTTTTCAGAGCACCACGGAGCCGACAAAGCCCAGAGTAGGACAGCTAGAAACCCTGAGCATCTCGAAGGCCCCCAGATGCATGCTGCCGTAGAATCTGACATCCCAAGCCCTAAACCCTGGAGCCCTCAATCCTTCCAACCTTCGACCCTAAGCCCCAAACCCTACCAAAGATTCTAAAAGCCTAAACCCTCAACTCTGAGTCCCCTACATCCTTCGAACCCTGCACCATGGTCTTGCTGAGCAACCATCGTGCTGCTTCCGACGCTTTGGGGAAGTCCCGAGGAGCTACTTTAGGGAAGAAGCCCCCCAGAAGCACAGCAGACATAGCCTTAAGAAATGTGGCAGAACCCAAAGCCCTAAAGCACGAAACGCATGAACCTTGCCCCCTACATGCTAAAGCGTGATCCATTCAGTGAGCCCAAGGGTTTGTCAGGAATCGTCTTTCATGATAGAAGGACAGCGGGTCGGAACGATTGCCACTATTTTTCGTCAGGTTCCCTAATCTACGTATAGGGCATTATTGAGGACCCTACGTACTTGGCCTAAGGCGTCATGCACACTGCTATGTTTTAATTTCTGAATCCAGGCAGGCTACAGAGACAGCCACAGAGGCATAAACATCCGATACCTCGGGTTTGCAACGGCTCCTTTAAGAGGGATTCGAGAAACAGAGTTTCCGAGATCCAGATTCAAGATGCTTCCGTAGTTTTGGGAGCCCGCAGGCAAGGAATGGCAGAGTTGGAGGTCGTCAACGCAGACTCTCTGCGCATGTATGACCACCTCCGACACCAGCCTTGTGCATGAGCTGCCTGCTAGCTTCGCACGCAGCTCGCGTCCGTGCTAGCGAAACACCTCGTGCAGCCTCTCCTGCACAAGCTTCAAGATATGCACCGGCAGAGAAAAGGCTTTTCAAGACTGGCCTGGCATCGGACAGTTCTTAGACCAGCGTATCTTGAAAGGCGACGGCGTCATGTCGCAACAAGGTCGCACAGCATCTCAAGCCCTCCTCGCCTGGGTATAAGCTTCACCGCTTCGGCTGCAGGCAACGTGTGGTTGCTTTGCCCAACTTCGAAGCTGAAGGTTGACTGGCAACCGTCCAAGACCAAGAAAATCAGAAGGCAAACAAGCAGCGCGCACTGTGCGACCTTCTTTCAGATGCAGCCAAGTATTTTGTTGACATCGTGCAAGCGACAGCAGCAGAAGCAGACGCACGAGAACTGCATCAATGCCGCCCGAATACCGCAACCAAAGACAACAAGCCGACCTCGGAAAACAGAAGACCGCCGTGCGCAGAGGCTGCTTGCCTATAAGTGCCTGCGACGCTGCGTTTCACCCCTTCCTGATGCAGGATGCCCGAATGAACGTGCGCCAATGACGGCCGAAGAGCGCGTGCTGCAGACTGTGCAGGTAACCCGCTCAGCTGGGTCACGTTTTCCCTGGCATGCGCAAGCAGGGTATACCCCGTGGTCGGATTTCGGCATCTCACATTGTCCGACTACCGGACGTTCTTCCAGCTGCCGGCCGGCACAGCCCTCGCAACGCACGTCGCGGAATGGTTTGCGCCTGCAGCTGCAGATGTCACTGTCGCCTCGGCGTCGAATGCGGCCACTTGCCTGCAAACAATGTTTTTTGTGTAATGGTCTGCGATCTCAGTACAGCCACAATGCTCGGTCATGGCGCATCTAGTGCGTCCTCTGAGGTGTTGCTTCCGCCAAATGCCGCCGACACGGTCTCTCGCCTGCCATGACTGTAAATTTTTATCATGTAGTTGCATCAGTCTACTGACGATCCGACTCGGGTCTTCTTGCTTGCCACTGCTTGCCGTGTCCTTTTCCTGCTTACAGCTTAATGACGATTGTTGCATCCTGCTGCTGGCCCTTATTGCTTGTGCAACCAGCTTTGCTCTGTCGCCTCAACATGAGCTTTGCTGGTCGTTTGAGTTTGATACTTATTATTGCGACCCCCACTCCCCAACCAAGACAGAGCCATGCTCGAAACAACTGCCTTCCAGGGCCGTCGAGAACTGCGTCAGACCCTCAATGTGTGATTCTTGCGTGCCTGTCCTTACATGAAAAAGCGGTGCAGTGTATTTATGCGCATGCATGGCAGGCAGCGCGAACTCCGGAGCGCCGTAGGTCGGACAAAGACGCGGGAGCAGGAGGTTAGATTTGCAGCCCTGCTCAAGGCGAAATAGCAGCGAGGCTGATCGGCTCGATGCTTGCGGGAAAACTCTCCATGCAGTTTCACTGATGTGCGGCCCAATTTCACCTCTCTTGGGATCAGTCGTCGTGCTCTGGGGTTTTGGGGCTCTAGTCTAGAATACTTTTGCTCGTCAGGGGATATAAAATTAGGCAAGTATTCCGACCCTGTCCACAAACCCCATCATGATTAAGGAGCCCCGGGTCCCCGGTGTACCGACATTGATTCAAGCCGCAAGACGAGTAGCGGGCAGCACGACAACCATGTATTCAAGAAAGCAGTTGGTTTTTTCTGTTTTAATGGGTAGGCAGCTATGTCAGCTATGTCTGGTTGGGGGAGCCAAGCCAAACCAAACTAGTTTTAGACTGCCCGCTCTACGTATGCTTTGCACCATCTCTGCACCCCCGCATTGGCCAAGCCAAGCCGAGCCGCCGAGCCTGCATAACAGAAAATATATACAGTTCCGTATATCTATATCAAAAGGATAGTGCTTCGTAGGGCTCCGTAATTTTATACCGTACAGCTAAAAGTTTCCTGCTTCCTCGCGGTAGCACTGTCGCCGAAGGCATTGACAACCCAACGTATTTTGGTTATTGAAGCGGTTGGGTGGTGGGTATATACAGGGCTCTGGGGAACATGAGGGACTACATTATAAGCATATAGATATGCATAATCTGTTTATATATATATATATATCTATATGTATACACATACACATACACATACACATACACATACACATACACATAAATGTAAACATGTAAACATGTATACATGCATACATACATACATACATATATATATATATACATATATACATATATACATATATACATATATACATATATACATATATACATATATACATATATACCTATATACCTATATACCTATATACCTATTTACCTATATACCTATATACCTATATACCTATATACCTATATACCTATATACATATATACATATATACATATATACATATATACATATATACATATATACATATAGTCATATAGACATACAGACACATAGACATATAGACATATAGACATATAGACATATAGACATATAGACATATAGACATATAGACATATAGACATATAGACATATAGACATATACATATACATATGCATGTACATGTACATGTACATATACATATACATATACATATACATATACATATACATGTACATGTACATATACATATACATATACATATACATACATACTTATATGTATATATGTATAAATGTATATACACACACATATATATATATATACACAGTTCGGGTGCTATTCTAAGAACACAAGTCATAAAAGCTCTACTACATGTACACTTACGCTTATCCTTTTCCTTATACCTATACTTATACTTATACTTTTCCTTATCCTTTCTGGATACTTATACTTATACTTATACTTATACTTTTCCTTATACCTATACTTATACTTATACTTATTCTTATATTGATACTGATACTGCTACTTATACTTACACTTACACTTACACTTATTCTTATGCTTATTCTTATTCTTATTCTTATTCTTATTCTTAGTCTTATTCGTATTCTTGTTCTTATACATATACATAGACATAAACATAGACATAGACATGTACATATACATTTACATATACATATACGTATATATACTTATATGTATATATGTATATACACACATATAGATATATATATATACAGTTCGGATGCTATTCTAGGAACACAAGTCATAAAAGCTCTACTTCACTTGCATTCAACAGCTTTCCTCCTGATGCAGGACTTTCGGGCGACTGGAGTGCATCCTGGCTGCAGCGGAAGGTTTAGGATGTCTGCGTGCTTAAAACTTAGGTCGTCTAGATTCTTCTCTCGGTTTTATGCTGTCACTTGCTAAAGCGGGTTCTCGAGTGCAGCTCGCTCAATAGAAGGCGAGGAGAAGTCATGATCTCAAACCGACATGTTTACAACAAATCGTCCAATCATCGAAGTACCTTTCGTGCACGCACCAGGAAACCATGAGTTTTGGTATAAGCAGTTGTTGCCGCCATACATGTCATTAGTAGTCTGGCCATGACCAAAAGGAA